TCTAACATATGTACTTACTTGCCGGTGACCGATTCGTTCACGGCACGGTTTATGGAGGAAAGTTTGTCGAACAAGAGCGCTAATCGCATCTCTCGATAGACGATCGTCGATAGTTTGCTTAGAAATTTCGTTACACGTTTAACGAAACACGCACGTAAAACGATTGCGATCATAGTGGCTGGACCACTAAACGAATTCTTAAACGTTTCACTGCTGCTCGATGATTTTCTTCGCGTCTTTTTTAATCCTTTTTTGAAGCAAACGAAAGAACGTATAGGGTACAATATTCTCGTTGCTCGCGAAAATTTTCATAGCAACGCTGTAACTCCGTTGAATGGCGAGCTTTTGTTCGTTAGTTGGTAGAAAAGAGAAAAGACTAAAGAAATAAACAAAAGTATCGAAGCAAACGCGTGTGTCGTTGTACATTTAACGGTTTGTATTTACGATAAAATATGCGAAAATCAGAACAACTGTTATATGTAAATCGTTGTACTACTCGTTTCATAGAGTTTTTCCAAGTAACTTATCAAAGTATTTATCTAGAGTAGTGCGGGAGAGAATTCCTCTTACTTAGAAATTTCCAAAAGTTTCCGCGGAAATATTTGTATCCGTGGTAGGTAGTTGTTCAATTTTCGACGGATAATCGAAAGTCGATGAAGATGAAACGCGAAAACGAGGTATGCTTTTGGTTGGCAATGTCGTTCGCTGAAAGCGAGACGCGAGGAAAAGCATCATGATTCTTATTCGGTTCGCGTTCGTTAGCTCGAAAGTTTTCGACAATCCAATTCAACTGCTTAACAGAGATGTTTCCTTCCGTTTCGTGCCCAATTATTCGCCTTCCAATTGATTCTTCTTCTTTCCACTCTCTCTTTGTCGCACGCGTAAAGCGTGTATGCGAAATTGTCAAGTGAAAAGTAAATCGAATGCGTTTCATTTTCTGCCAGAATCGGAACATTGTGACGAAAGTGTGTTAACTTTCGAGAAAACGTGAGTAGGTTTAAGGAAAATGTATCGTTACCACCACACACTTGTCAGTGATTAACGTTAAAAATTCCCACCTTTATCTAATTCTGTAATCGTGGATTTACGTGTACGCTTCCAAAAGAGAACGAAAATAAAAAAAAAGTAGCCAGTTATTGAGCGTGTGTAAAAACTGTTGCGAATACAATGGTATTTGTTTCGTGATATCGAAGAGACTAGAATTATGTAGTCCAGTAATGTAGACACGGTTGATTTTCCGAGAGAAGCGTTCTTTACATGTAGTTAATGTAACAATATGCTTGTACGATATTCGATTTAAATATTTAAATCGACGCTCCACCTGGTCCGTCGGCATAGTATTTCATTCGGTATCTTATTCGCCTTTTGAAGAAAACAAAAAGAGTAGTCCGCATAATATATTAGCGATAAGCGAGAAAACAGCGATTAGACACTTGCGATTAGTCGTGAGTTAGGAATGAAAAGTAAACCCTTTTAACTCTCTCTCTTTCTTCTCCCCACCCCACCCCTCTCTCCTTCACTCTCTTTGCAAACCTCTTCTTGTTTTCTATGTTTTTCATCGTGTTGTTTTTTTTATAGCATGGAAAAAAACGATCTAAACGGTTGAACACGCGCTAAAAACCAAAACATTCAGTGCGCATGCGCTTTACACACTACGTAATACAACTTGTTGGTAAATCTGGAAAAATGACAAAATATGTAATTTCCGATGATACAACTTATCGTTGTGTTCGCTCGCATTACTGTCCGATTCACTACCTTCTACTATCGAAACACATCGAAGTAAATTTTCTTTGATTATTAATTCGAAATGGTTACGATTTCATCCGAAATTCAGCTGGAAGCATATGGCGCATTCGTCGTACTTCCATTCATAGAATTGCGCGCGCATTTTACTTAATCGTCACTCATTCGTAGTTAGTCAGTTTTTTGCTTTCTACTCCTTCGAGATAAAGGGTTAAACACGCTTCACGATTTTCCTCTGGTCCGTATTACCTCATTCGTTTCGACACTTCCTCTCAACCTTCGATTCTCGATCAATTCGTCCGACAAGTTTACGCAGATATACCTCATTTACCGAAATAAACAATTAAACGCTGTTGCGACGAAATTTTCACGCACTTTCTTGCACGATTTTCTACAATTTTGTTCATAATGTTTATAAAAATCTTGTAATTTGTGTGTTGTGTAATTTAAATGTACAATGATATAAACGTATTATACATATTATCATTAACGAGTTCGATTATTTTTATTCGAAGAAAACATGGTAAATAGAATATGTTCTTCAATTTGTTTTGCTTTTAGTGTTTCACATTTCACTGTATAATTTTTACTCAATATCATAAAAAAAAATTGACGCAAATGTGTGAAATAATGATTATCGATATAAAAAATTGTTCTGCGACGCTTAGGTACAGGTACTTTTTTTTAGCCTAGGTGTTTCATTTGTAAAATGAATTTATGATCAAGTTGCGACGTTCGATTTTCATAAGTAACGTTAGAATAATGTGGGGGTAATTAATGTTTATTATGTTACCATTGAAATAAGCTAATTTAAAACAATAAATATCGATTCCAATCGATCGTACAAGATTTTAGATTACAAATGGTAGATGGTGCTAAAGGTGCTATTGTTGTACGATACTGATGATACATTTTTATATCAAATTAATTTGTATTACATAGAGAAATCGTCTAGGATTTTTCAAATAGGTCGGTATGGTTTTCTTCACCGTAGTAATGAGACCCCTGAGGCCATCTATTATCATTCGATAAAGTTTCAGTATCGGAAATTGGAAGTCATGTGAAGTCTGCCACTAATCAAAGTTCGCCCACAATCGTTTGAGCCTGGTGTATCTTTTATTGTTACAATTTATACGTCTATTTTTTACGTATACAGAATCAGGAAAAGTACTCGTGAAATGATATGAAACGTGCTGAAGCGCGATATCAATTTTCCCTAGATTCCCCTATTCGATGAAAAATTGGTGAACCTGATCGATGCATAACCTGAGCAAACAGGTGGTGCCATCTGATAAATAACTTAGAGATCGAAAAGTAGAAAATAGTAAAAACATGGATGTGGATACAGCGAGTGATAATACGTCTATAGATGACAAGATTGACGATTTTTGTGAAAATCCAACAAGAGATGCCTTGACAGAAGGTCTTATGAGTCTTTTGAAGCCCACTGTGGATCAGCTAGATGAAAGAATTCGTGCTACCAGGTATGTAATGTATTTGTATACCTATATATTGTATGTATGTACCTTAGGCTAAAGATTATCTTATCGGTATGATATTTCAATGTTTATGAACATTTAAGAATGTATTAAAATTAACGAAGCTTGAAACATCCATATTTCTCGTATACTTTGTTTTATTTACACGTAAATATGTTATTCGTACAGAATATGTCAGATAGAGTTAAAGCAACGGATCGAATCCTTAACGGAAGAATTACAGAGGATCAATGAAGCTTTACAGTGCCCATTGGAAACGGATTCCTATGTGAAAAAGCTAATCAATGCTAAACATAAAATCACAATCGTCAGTAATATTTTACAAAATACTCAAGAACGACTGAATAAGATTCATCAAGCTGTGGAGAAAAATACAGCGAAGAGAAAAGCTTTATTAGATCATAGTTCTTCGTATGGCAATGTTGCAGGTGTTTTAGATAAAGAGGAGCAAACAGAAGCGGAAAAAGAAACTGCACAGTCCAAGGAGCAGGAATGAACTATGGCTATGACATTGTAACATTGTAAAATTGTAAAATTGTAAAATATGTGTGATATATTTGTATAGCGGTATCAATGTAAAAGTAACCAGCGAAGATCCCTTGAACGAAAATTGTATGCAATTTGCCGGCGTGTCATGGATACTCCGCTGGTGAAATTGTCAACCAGGGAGTTGGAAACGGTTTACGAACCTTCAGAGGATTCCTTTCTCTTGATAGATGCCTTAGAAGCCGATTTAGAGGTCCTAAAAGTTAAAAAACCTGTGATGTGTTTAGAAATAGGCAGCGGATCTGGTATTGTAATTACCGCGTTGGCAATGGCACTGAGCAAGTACTGTCAGCCTTACCATCTTGCGATCGATATTAACCTGGATGCGTGTAAAGCTACGAAGAAAACAGCTATGGAAAATTCGGTAGAGATAGATGCGATACAAATGGATTTGTTAAGTTGCATACGTGGCAATCGTGCTTTCGATATCGTGCTGTTTAATCCACCGTACGTGGTAACAAGCGACGAAGAAATTTCAAATAGCAAACTAGTGTTCAGAACTTGGGCGGGTGGGTCTAACGGTAGAAAAGTTATGGAACGAGTATTTCCTAGGATTCCCGATATTCTATCGGACGTTGGAATATTTTATTTACTGATTATCAAAGAGAACGATCCAGAGTACATTTTGTGTACCTTTAAGCATTTAAATATGGAAGGAAGAATAGTTGCGGAAAGAAAAATTAGAGGAGAACATTTGTACGTTTTACGGTTTGAAAAGATTACGTAACTAGGAATATGTAAAAATATCACATATCGTTTTACGCATTGAAAACGTTAATCAATTTTCGTATTTGTTTAAACCATTAACACGATGAACTAACGTAATTGAAGAAACATTGTTCAATGCGTTCGATTTTCTCAGTTGATGACACAGAAAATGATAACCTATAATCATGTAGATATATAAAGGATTATTTGTTGTTACACTTGATTTGTACATATATTTTATTTTATTGTTAATTCATACAACGTTGTACTTGTCGATAGAAGAACGTATATATGTACGTGCAATACGATGTAACAGGTACGTCAAACCAGTGACAGTTGTATAGTAAAAAATATTTTTTTTATCTCATTCATGGTTGCACGATTAATCGTACATATTTACAAGTGTATGATCGAATGTACCTCGCATTATTCGTTATGCAAACCATTGTCGAAACATGCGGCTAGTCTAATTATGTTTAAAATTTACTCATTGTTGTGTCGTATAAAAAAAAAAAAAATACTGAAAAATGTGCCCGATCGACACACGATAATTAGATAAAAACAACATTGTTATTTGCGAATATCATAGCTGTTGGAACGACGGGCAGCAGGAGGAGGAAGAGGAGGCGGCGGCCCAATGTTTTATAGGGTTACCGTTCCCGCCAACCAGTCTTTAGAATTTTTACATACATGTAGAGTGTATAGTAATAGGCAGGCAACGTAAAGTATAGCTGTTCGTTCAATATTATCATTATAAAATTCACGTACAATCATACGTGAAATACGTCAATTAATGGTTAATTACCATTTTAGCGTTCGTTGATCGCGCGTTATCGAAGTCCAAAATAACGACAGCAACGAATTACGCAGAAGTTACTACGAGTAAATAGATTTCGACCTGTAAACTCGTTGCAACTTGACGTAAAGTGTAACCGCACTGATCGTAGCGACAAAGATGGTGCTCAACAGAAAGAAGATGGCCGTGTAAAATCCGGTGTAAGTCATGCAAACGTTCGTCGTTGTTCTCGCCATTTCCTCGATAGCAGTTTCCTCGAGATGCTCGAGTACTTGGCTACTGGCTTTGCTGAGATCGTCTACCATGACCACTCTGAAGCCACGGGTAACCCGTATCGGTTCGGAAAGTCGGACAGCCGAAGTATTTGATGAGGCTGTGGTGTATAATATCGATCGCCGCCGCCGCCTACCTGGCTCGATTTGCTGAAAAAGTATCGTTTTTTAATTGACACACGATTTCACGTTTAAATTTACATTCCCGATAAAACTATCGGCCGAGGTACAGAAGTAATTTACCTGATTCAGTTCCGGGCAGGGTTCGCAGTCGGTTTTGCAGAGTTCGACGTTACATTCGATGAACAGATCCATCACGTCGGGGAACTTGAAGGCTTGAAAATATGCGTAAGCGATAATCGATGCGCCCGTATTTCCAGTATCTTTCGTCTTTTGGAAGGCACCGAATAATTTTGGTTTCAGTATGCATCCTCTTTCGTCCGTCAACTGTATCATGTTGGTAGAGCTTTCGTCTCGAGCAAGACAATCGCGCACCTTGAAAGTTGACAATCCGTTAAATACTTTCTTTCGACTTGGTTTTTTTCAAGTTGACTCAATGGTTTGACGAACGGAGAGAGAAAATTACCTGAAGATCGAAGGCAGGATCTCCTTCGACGGAAACCACCAGGGTCATGGTCTCTCCAATTTTCACCAGTCCATCTGCCGCAGCTGCGAACGGACCTTTTCCGACTTGGATATCTAACCTGGCGACCGCTGTGTCGCCGCTAAACGTTACTATTTCTTGATTCAACATATCGACGGAAAAGTTAACCGACAACGCTTTGTTGATGTTCCCTTCCCACAAACAACGAACTCTCCGTACCGTGTCCCAAACTTCCTGTATGCCTGGTTCGTTCTTGAACGGAAATAAACGAGATAGGTACGTTCATGGAATATTTCGCATTGAGCCGAGCAAAGACGAACATGAGACAAATGTGATCACGCTTACCTGTAAGACCAACACGTTTTCCAGATACGCTTGTCCAGCTTCACCCGCAAAGTCGTTGATGAATTGGGTACCGCAAGAATCTAGACTCACCGTGAACGAGTATTTCGTTTGCCCGGAATTTTGTGCAACGTATCTACATTCCGGGTTTGTGTAGTATCCCTGCGGACATTTGTATCATTTAGGTATAAATGGTGAAATTATCAACGCTTCAGTGTTCGAACGAATAGGTTCGTTCGTACCTTGGAATAAATAACCCCGTCGAAGGCGCGATTGAACTCGATGTCGATAGTCATCATAGTTTTGCTGCACTGAACGTCAAGGGCGTGAATGTGCGGAGGGTGCTTCAAATCGTCATCTTCCCCAGCTCCGTCGCCAATTACCGTTCCAGAAGAGCCAGAGCCTAAAAGGATTAAAAGTTATGGCGAAGATATATATACAGTACATACCCTAGTCTCTAGTAGATACAGTGTAAAATCAGGTTAATTGAATACCTTGGCCGGTTGAGATGCCAGTTCCGCCGGGAGTTTCGGAAGGACCGTTGGAACCAGCGGCGTTCTCTTGAGGAGTAGAAGGATAACTTGGAGCAGGATATCCAGCCCCGCTGTCCTGTTGGTAGGTTCCGGTTCCGGCTCCGGTCCCGGTCCCGGTTCCGGTTCCGGTTCCGACTGCGGTTCCGGTTCCGGTTCCAGAAGTGGGAAACGGAGGACTGGGATTCGAGGTGGAATATCCATAGGTGCCGCTGGACGCGCCTCCTTCGGCGGACGGAATGTAGGCGGTGTTCGGTCTCTGAGTGGAATAACCGTAAGTACTGGAGAATCCACTCGGAGTAGAGAATTTGCCGGTATTTGTTCCGCTGCCAGCGCCAGCAAATGTCGAGCTCGAATAACCAAAGTTGCTGGAAACTCCACCGGAAGAGGAATATCCAGGCTGAGAGGATTGCGTGGTGGATACTGGCCGAGAAGTCGAACTGTACGGTGGGAAAGCAGAGGAACCAGAATTGGAATAGGAGGGCGTTGGAGATGGACGAGGATTGTAAGAGGACGGACTGTTTGGCGGAAGATACGTGGATCGTTGGGTCGAGAAGGGTAGAGGAGGTTGAACGGTGGACGATTGACCGGATGGCCTCTGGTAAGGATAATTATTGGTCACCTCGTTTTGAGCCGAGGGAGACGAGTAGCTTGGTTGCTGGCCAGTCGAGGGCGGTTGAAAAGGTCGAGGTCTTTCGGGTGGCCTTTGAGTGCTGTACGGTGGTAGATATCCAGCAGGATCCGACTGCTGACGAGCTGCAAAACAATCGATCTCGGCTGTGTAAATTTCTGCTTTCGGCAACCATTTGAAAAACTACGCGATTCGATGTTTCCGTCGATGACTAATGTAAGACTAATGAACTTTTACATCGATTGCAAAAATTAGCGATGATTTTCTCGACAATATTTCTTGATTTTACCAACTTCGGATCGCGTAGCTTTGGATTTCTACCTCGGGAGAGTTTCATTAATATGCGTGAGAGAGGAGACAAGCGTGCTTGATAGAAATTCGTGTAAAATCGTGGTTAATTGTTCGTGGAAGTATTGCATAGGCAAGGATCTCTATTTTGATGGTAAATCGGAGTAAGATCGTTGCCGCTTGTATGCGGGGTTTTCAGCTTCAGTGCTCGATTTATGGTGTTTACGTTTAGTCGACTAGTTAAAATAAGTAAGAAAAAAATAGACCGAAGAAGTCCAGATCGATGGTTCAAGATGAACCTTGTTCAATGGAGTAACTGAAAAGGGATAAAGCTTCTCCTGGAGAACGTACTTTTACGTGCGCCCTGTCGGTAGATGCCCTGAATCCAGTCTAGGATATTTTGCGCCATCAGGTCTGCGGCCGACACGGGAGCAGCTCGCTGGACTCTCGAGTGCGCTAATGGATTTTAAACGATTGCATTCGTCAAATTCGCTCGTCGTTTTCCTACGTTATCACTTTCTTTACTCTCGATCGATCAGATGGATCGTACTCATTGTCAGACTCGAGATTCGATTAGGATCCCGTCTTTCTCTCTTACCAGCTACAGACGGGGCTCTGACGAACAAGGCATGTCTTCCTCCATACTCCTGGCTCGTGGCTACACCCAGCCCGGCAACGATCAGCAGTGTCCCCACGATTTGCTTCATCCTCTATCTGTAACGTCAGTTTTTCTTTTCAAATTTCTTTTATTACTTTTCTTTAGCTGATTTCAAGTTAAAACGAAAACTCGTGGAAAATTTGAATTTTGAATTGGAAACAAATCGATCGAGGAAAAGATCGTTCTGTATAAAAGAGGAAACCTTGAATTTTTCAAGGCTGCGAGCCTATGGTCTATACGGAGTTCGCAGAAACAATAGGAAGCATACTGGTTGCTCGCTCGCTTTTGAAGGGAAAGGTTAATTAAGAGCAGGCGTTACTTTTATAACTTGAAACCGAGTAGATATATAAGGTAAAGGAACGAGGATCCTATAGGTACGCGGCCTAAGAGAATTGCGCGCAAGGTCTCGGGCTCTCGGACGAAAACTGCTCTCGTCGAACGAGCAACAAGAATGTTGCATTCGTTTCGTTAATTTTTTCCTTTTATTTCGACAGAAAGTTTAACGAATAGGATGGTTAAATAGCGTAGCCGCAGCCGGTCTCGGGAAAGGACGTTTTCACGATTGTTTCCCTCTTCTCACGTGCGCGTGCGTTAGTACGTTTCGTCAGATCAGATTGCGAGGGAACCCCAATCGTATTCTGTGGTCTCTAACGCGTCTCGAGATTTCAGAGCGAGCGCGGTCGAAACGCGATGTACAAGCTCGATCCGCAGCTAATTAACGCCTCGCGTCATTTTGGTGGTTGCGCAACGCCTGTTCGTTTCACCAAAGGGAACATAGTACGCGAACGAGGCGCCTCGTCTCGATGTTTGGCGACCGTTCGATTTTTCAACGATTTTACTACAATCGCTTTCCTCTTTGTATTTGCATTATGTATTTTGCTTTCTCGTTAGCCGGAGAATTCGTTGGCACGGAGAAAGTAAAGGTAAATTTGTCGGGTGCGAATCATCCGAGCAGCGCGTGCAAAAGAAAACAGTCGTCAGCCAATTCGTACATTGATACATCGTGTAATTTCTTTACTGTAGAACGACTGTACGTGATTTGCATCGACTTTCCTTCTCACGAAAATTTCCGTTCCCGACTTTTAACGAGAATGAAGGAGAATAGGTGTTTTTGGATTTTAATTGGTCGCTAGACAAGAGAGTTTACGGACAATCTACGGTTTCCATATCCGTGACTAGAATCGCTAGGATAGAAAGTGTAGTGGCTTCAGGTTTCGGAAGAAGGAGAGGAAGGAGCGATCGGTGTCTGCTCGTCTTCCAGCAATGCGAAACACTGTCGCTTTCGTCGAAAGCGAAGTTACGAGCGGAATTCTTGCTTAGATCCGGATCCTTTTTATCCGTATCGATTCGATTTAGCCCGGTAACGGTGAAATCCTGCTGCTCGTGCAGCTCGTGCTTCGAATTGCACTTACATCTTCCCTCGGAAGAAGAAGATACTCGCGTTAGTCGTATCTCGGTTCCTATGCTTAGTTGTTAGTCGAGTATAGGTTGGAGAAGCGAACCGTCGATTCGTGCTCGACCTAGGTGAAAGGTGAAAGTCGCGTCGGCCTCGAGATCTTACGCGTTGCTGTTGCCCCTGGCTCTGCTCGCGCGATTCGCGACATCGAGATACGGCATCTCCAGCTGAGATCTTGCTCGTGCTCCTGTCCGCCTTCGCGTCTGCGGACCACTCGAACAAACAAAATTGCAACTACCCGAAACGTTCAAAATTCTCATCAGCGAGTAGAGAAATCACTTTTCAACGCCGCGTTGAGCTGTGTGTATGTATGTATATAGGCATACATCGCAGATGTTGCGCTTGCTCGAATTCATTAAGATACAAAACTCGTGGGAAAAGCATCGGAGGGGGTCGACCGACTCGAACGAATAGCATTCCGATTTAATTAAGATCGCGGGAGCAAAGTTTGTTGAACGATGGGAGATAAGGAGATTGCGACGATCGGGAATTTAAAGTGCGGGAATCGAATTGCAAGAACGTTTGCGAGGACGTTTCTCTGACGAACTTTATTCATCGTACAAGCTAAAATCACGAAAGCAAGAGTTAGAGCGTGTCTTCTGACTGGTACAGGTATATTGTATGATAGGATCGAAAAGATCGCGAGAGCGTTCTAATTTACAAACATTTCTTTGGAAATATATACAAAGTTTAATCGAAGCAAACGCGGCATAATACGCGTTGTGAGAGAAAAAAACAGAACTGTGGCTACCAAACGAAGATCGCGGAGATCGAGATTAAAAGTAATAAACGAGTACGTTGCGTCAACGAGATCGCGATTAAATTAGAACGAAGCAAAATAGACGTTTCCAGTGCTTTCCTCTTCCGAATTTAATCCCATTTCAATTCGTCTTTTTCGTTTGTTCGCAAATCGATCGATTAAAATAAGCTTTTCCTTATTTACAAACGCCTTCCTTCCGTCTCATTCAAATTTGAGGGAAAAAATTGTCATCTGCCAATATTGACGAAACAATTAAAGGTTCGAAAAGTAACAAAGTTGCCTCTTTTATGTCTCAGCCAGCGGTGGTGTAATGGACATTTTTATCGACCTTTCTATTTTAACGAGCAAACTCGATATCGTTTGACCGTGGGCGATAAAGTCGAAGATGCGATGCGACTCGAAAAATCGCGAAGTTTAATTTTATAAAAGTTTCATAATTATTCTAGGAAATTTGCACAGTTTGTAAAGAGTCGTCCTTAAGGTGGTCGTTTGCGGGAAGAAGATTGGGCAAGCGCAAGGTGTACCCGAGATGCTGCGGTTTTCTTCGACGTTTCGGATGGATGTGGCATTCTTAATGTGGCAGTCGAAACGGTACTCGTTCATTATCCAGATTTCGTAACAAGGCTAAACATTTTTGTTCTCATTGCACGCTTTTCGCACGATAAGCATCCGAGTCGAGCCACGGACCAAAAAGTCTACAAAACTTTAAGAGAGGTCGTTTTTTTTTTTTCACGAGGATAAATTGAAATTGATTAGTTTTTTTGTTTAGGAACGTAAACAACTGACAGTGAAAGTAACGTTTAATGAATTTCAGGTTTAGGAGAACGAAAAAGCCGAATAAAAAATGATTTTGTTCGAGCGTTAATCGGTCGGTTTAGCGCAAAATGAAGCAGAAGAAGAGCGTGTGGAACGCGATTGCGAGAGATTTGCCAGTGAAAACAGCCAGTTATATACGTTCGATAGGTCTGGGTTACGGGGACATCGATTACCTTACGCGTCGAGAAACGCGATTCGAAAGAGTAAGTAAGGGGATAACTCGTGGCTTGTGGTTTCTACTTCGCAATGTTAGCCGTAGGCAGATCGCGATCGCGATCGCGAATTCGTATCTCTTTCGAGGACCGTTACCTGGATGCTGTGAGTCAATTCCAACTCGTCCAGTATGCGATTCGTTTCAATTCGAAAATACCGTGTTTGCGTCTGTACCCGCGCCTGCACCCACGCATCCCTTTATGTAATTTCAAATGTAACGTAATGTAACGTAAAAATAATGTCAAATCTTTTTTTCTGGATAGATCACCGAAGAACCGCTGATTTTCTCGACGAATTACGACAACGCTTAATCGCGTTTCGCAACTCGAGTATTGTCTGCGATTTTCAGAGGAAACTGCTGTCCCACGTTCGCAAACGTTAACGATCGATCGTCATACCTATACATTATTTTAACTCGTGTTAAATAATAAAAAACTGAAAGTCGTTGAATATAGTGATTGGACGCGGCGAATTAACATTGCTGGTTCGATGTATATGGCGAGGAAATTTATTTTTATGTAGAAAAAGTAACGTGAAATCGGCCGTCCTGCGACCTTCGGTACGGAGAAAGTCGAAGAGATTTTGTTCGGTCAAACGTAACATTTCGGTATATATGTAGACACACTTATGATAGACGAGTCTCTCAGAAGGCGTCCTTTTGAACGGTCATTAATTTTTCCAGATAGTTAATAGCTTGCTTCGATCGTGTTAAAAAGAGGCAACGCGTTTCGCTAATCGAAAGTATTGCGGCATATACTAGGATTCGAATTTTTTTTCTTTTTATTCAAGCAATTACATCATCTTACTGAACGTCGAACGCGCAAACAAACATTTAGTCGTCCGTACTTGGCGCAACAAGCAACTCGTTTCAGCGTAGGATGTCGAGACTGGCGGAGATACGAGTCGAAGAGAAAAGTCAAAGTGCGCGGGTAAGAATTGGCGTATTTAATTGGCGATAGAAGAAGAGGCGCGAAAGAAGAATGTCCCAGCGATCGGTGGGTACAGAAGCAGGCGCGCTTTCTTCCTGTCCGCCTCCGCGTTTTCTCTCCTTCTCCTCGCGAGATTCTCACATTTGTTTGCAATCGTTTACGCGCCTTTCTTCGCTCCCGTTCGATTTCAGCGAAAGAAGAACGTTATCGGCAGCCGTCGATCGTAACGAATCGATCTGTTTGAATTCAATCGTCGCACCGAGGAAATTGAAAGCATTCAGTTCGATGATAACAAATTCACGCGCGTCGATCATGAGAAAAACGTCATACGAGCTCGCACTAGAAACGCTGCACACGTTTCTGGACAGGAACAGATATCAATCACTTTGCTTCAACATCGCTTTCTTCCTCGTAGCGTAATAAATACGTGTCTTTTCAATTCCCTCTCTCAAGAATCGGATAGTGTTTTGTATCGTAAATTTATCGGGTTATCGAAATTTTCAGTCGCGATCGTACCGCAGATTTTCGCTAATATATCAGGCGATTCCTTCTCGGAATTTGTAAATGTCGCGCACATCTATACACACGCGCATACACGCACAGATGCACGATGTAATCGACGATGAAACTCACCGAGTTTATCGATAACTGATTCGTCGAGCAAACGCGAACAAAGTCAAAAGACTCACCTCGAAACGAAATCCTTTTTACAGTAAATGAAGACGAAGACGAAGGAGATCTTCCCTCGCGATTCGTCCGGAAGATTTGCTTCGTGCGCACGCTTGTGAGAAAGGTGAGAGTGAATAGCTGGGAGCATCTTCATTCAAGCTTTATATAGGTATTGTACCCCCTTTCCTAACTGGCCTGTAGAAAGACCCTGCCATCGTAGTTGCCCGCTGTAATTGTACCATCTACAATCTACGAGACCAAGAATGACTCTTATAAAAAAAAAAGAAGAGTAAACAATACTCTGCTATGTATAACTGTCCTTTAATCTACTCCGTTTGCGTACGCTCGAGTTGCGGCGAATTGGAAAACTCCGATTTCGTACGATCGATCCTTTAACCCGGTCGAGCAACGAAATCAGTGTTTCCTCTTCACGGACGAGTTTTTTCGGAAGAGACCAGGAAGTTTAAAAGCAAGGTAACTGCTTTTGAAACCTTTTGTTTTAGCGAGTTTATTGAATTTCGCAACTTGGGGATTTTACCGATTAACGATTAATAATTAGCCACCAATTAACTAGAAAACGGTAGATGTTTTGGAAAGTCTGTTGGATCTTTAAAATCTCTTTACGCTTTTTAAATTACTCGACCGGGAGGAAGAGGAATATTAAGTTAGAGCGATTGTAGAAAGAGCATTGGTAAGAGTTTGCGATTACATCGTGGTTTCAAAGTGATGCTCGATGTTAGCAACTAGGTAGCCATATTAGCCGAATTAATGAGAAAATGAGAGGTTATTAAATCGGTTACGCGAGAAGGTCCGAGGACGCAATTGGTCGACGGTGCGGCTGTATGCGAAACGAATCGCGAAAAGGCACGACTTCCACTTTATCTCCTAGATTTAGTGGCAACTTTGTTTAGAAGGCTGCGTGTATTCGACCGCAAAGGATAGGTCCTTGTTACCTTCTTATCCTCGGAGGTATACGGGGACCAGCCGTTCCATATAACCCTTTAGCTATATTCCGTCAGTTTTTCTCGTTCAGGGAATCAAGCCACAATGGAAAATTCTTCCATCAAGATTTTTTTCTTTTCATTTTTCCTTCTTTTGATCAGTGGAAGTAAAACTTTCCAAGGAAAATATAGTTTTCACAGTTGAAAGCTGTCCGAAAGAAGAAAACCAAGGTACGTATCGAAAAGAATGACAGAGAATCTTCGGAACGGATGACCTTTATGTACGAAGAGGAAAGAATAGTGAAGGAGAAAGTCACACGGTGGAATTAGCTCCCTGACCAAACTATCCTCTGGTAAAATTTAATATTACACGTTGCTCTAATCTTGCGCAAAACTCTGACGAGCCAGTGTTGTTGGAAACGCGAATGTAATTTTGCCCTCGAGTCGTTTGATTATTTCGCTTTGTCTCCGATGATTCTTGCCTTCTTGCAGAAAGATACGTGTCGACCACCCTGTTACCAGTTCGCGTACGATTAACCAGTTTTCATATGAAATTACATTGAGCTAAACGGAACTTGCTTATCCGCTTAAAATTGATAAAAGTGATATCCTACCTTGTTAACGTTCGTGGAATTACCCTCGCCTTTTCCTTGAACAATGGTGCCACCTTCGTAAACAGCGTTAAACCAACTTGTCTGATTGTCTCTCAACAGTCTCACGTACAACTATTCGATAGTTGTACATGATCAATTTGTTCGTAATTGAAATTCAAGTTTAAATTCAATATTCGATTCGTTTTTTCTTTCCGATCGCAACTTGCAGAAGTATATTTTCATAAATTTACCGGCAATCAATATTGGTACAGGAGTGAGCAGAAAGGAAAACATTTAACAGAATTGCGCAAAATGGTATAGAACAACGAAACGTAGATTGGTAATTATTCGCACTAAAGTCTAGTAGTAATTCACTTTTAAAATTAAGATCGTCTAATTACAATAGCTTATAAACTTTTACTTTCCTAATACCTACGAATTATCTATTCGAACCTTTCCTCCCTTCCGGAAGCCTTTCTTCTCGTTAGTTTTCAGCCGTAATAACCATTTTACGCACTCGGTAGCTGGTAAACTGCCAGCTTTCTATCCTTCTATCTGCTCATCGTTTTGAAAAAGACTATCATGGTTGCAGTAAACTACCCGCGAATCCTGTAATCCTTTCACGATAACGAGGGAGGTCGTAAAATTTTCCAAATATCAGAGACATTCGCGAGCATCGATCTTTAGAAAGCAACATTCTTTCGCTCTTCCTCTTTTGCTACATAGCAATGCTAAATAGCAAAATCTGTTTCTATTTTGTAATCTGAGCCTTCCTTTCTGAGAATAATCAAACAACGTTGAAAGCCTGTCGAAAAATCGATGTTCGTATATGCTGGATAAAGCGAAATCGCAAATGCTGTTATGCGATCATCGGTCAAGGAGACACGTATCGAGATAGAAGGTTTGTCTTCGAGTAGGTGCTTGATTAGAGCCCACAGGGAACGTTCGATAATAATTGTTCGTTGCTCTAGCAAGCCGCTAATGGATTAGTCGGCTACTAATTTTCGAAATACCGCTACACTTTGCTTCGCAAATTTGAAATCGTTTATCGATGTGTACTTTCACTGAACTTTATTAGTCGGTGTGCCAAACTTATTTAGGTAAAATTAGTTACAGATTGGTTTTTAGTTTGCAAGACAATACGCGTTTCTTTTTCTCGATGAGAAAGCGAACGAGGCTCTTTGTGCAGTAGTCTAAGGTCGTAAAACCTGCTTACGCCTGCAAGCAACATATTCGTTGATTAATTATGCATTTTCTCTTCGTGGTCCCTGTCAAGAGTTTGCATAATAGCGCGGCCGGCAGATGGTAACTTCGAAAGCGAATTAGCTCGTTTCTGTATCTCTACCTTCTATTAATAGCGCGCAACACTTTAAACAGCCTAACGTAGCTTTTGTTAAAGGTAGGTTCGAACATCGTTTGAAAAGCTTCGTTTAAAACCGCGTCGACGACGACGGTACGTTATTGGTGAACAGGAGAAAGGACGCAAGCGATACGTTTTCATTCTTAGGATAAACGTAATGCGTGATGAATGTAACGAAGGAATGTAAATGCGTGTTTCGAAAAACGTTGCTCCTCTTTAGGTTGTCGCTTCGGCCAGGTGTATGTATGTTTCGTTGTAAAAGCGAACTGTGCTCGCGTCAAAATTCGTAAGTTTACCCCGATATCGAACGATTACTCGAAAGAAATTTGATTCTTTGCTCGATGAAAATTGAAAATCGAATATCGAAAATCGGAAATCGAAAACATTGATTGCATAATGCGAAGCGTCATCGCTCTATAGAAAATAGGTAATGCAGGAATGTTGTACACGTAGAACGCAAAAGCTGATTGTGAATTTTGCTTCTAGAGTGACCACTTCTCTCGAGCAAACCAAACCAATTGAGTTATCCGGCGCTTCTTCTGGAGAATGAGCGGACGATCTGCGTGTAGATTACATCAACTCGATTGCCGCGTCGTTGTCACTGGTAAAAATTGCGCAAACAACGCTACGCCAGAGGCGACGAAACTTGCGTAGAAAGCCGAATCATATGCGCATATTATATACTACAAGTAAATATTTCATATTTATTTTTACACATCAAATGAAAAATACAAAAAAAAATTAATTATTTTCCGTTTGAGAGTAAGATATCTGTACTACAGATATACATGTATGAATGAACATTTTTTTTATTAAGAGTGTAAATTTGTTCTGTTATGTATTGATCAAAAACATTGTAGTCATGATTATATAAATTAACAAATTTTAATAATAATTTATTACAAACATGTACCTATATTGTACAATAATTTCATAGACAATATTTATTCCCAGTTATTTATTATTTTTTTGTCTTATGAGGCCCAACCCTTTATTACTGCATCCCTTACATGTCTGTATCCTTAACATCCCTCTATCCCTTATATCACTATATTCCCTATATTCCTGCATCTCGTATATGCTGGTATTCCTTATACCTCGGCATCCCTTACATCTCTGTACCCTTTATGTCTCCGTATCCCTTACACTCCTGAATTCTTCCTGCATCTCTTGTATGCTTTCAACCCTTATAATAAATATATTATAAATAAAATACTTATGGCCACTGGTTCGAGTAAAGGTAAGTAAAGGTAAGTAAAGTCTCGTGAAAAATAATGTTAAATTTAAATTTTTGCAAAATTTAGTTCCTTTTTTTACCGCTAGAGGGCGCTGATTCGACGTCGTAAATTTAGTTCGCATTTTTGCCACTAGAGGGCCAAAATTCGTGCAAGGTTTAGTTCCTTTTTCCGAAACCAGACGGCGCTGATCCAACGCCGAAAATTTAGTTCACATTTTTGCCGCCAGAGGGCCAGAAATGGTGCAAGGTTTAGTTCCTTTTTCCGAAACCAGATGGCGCTCATTCGACATCGAAATTTTAGTTCGCATTTTTGCCGCCAGAGAGCCAGAAATGGTGCAAGGTTTAGTTCCTTTTTCCGAAACCAGATGGCGCTGATTCGACATCGAAATTTTAGTTTGCATTTTTGCCGCCAGATGGCCAGAAATGGTGCAAGGTTTAGTTTCTTTTTCCGAAACCAGATGGCGCTGATCCGACGTCGAAAATTTAGTTCACGTTTTTGCCGCCAGAGGACCAAAAATTTTGCAAGGTTTAGTTCCTTCGTTTACCGCTAGGAGGCGCTATAATGGGATGCTTACAAAAGAGATGCAAGGATGTAAGGAATGCAGGGGTGTAAGGAATGCAGAGATGTAGGAAATGCAGGAATGTAAGGAATGCAGAGATGTAAGGGATGCAGGGATGTAAGGAATGCAGGGATGTAAGGAATGTAGGGATGTAAGGAATGCACGGGTGTAAGGAATGTAGGGATGTAAGGAATGCACGGGTGTAAGGAATGAAGAGATGTAGGGGATGCAGGAATGTAAGGAGAGCAGAGATGTAAAGGATTTTTTTTTTTTTTTTAACGTGGGGAAATCTTGCATAAGATCCCCTACCGACCCCTGGAAGAGGGCGGCGGGGGAGTGTCAGATTCCTACTGACTAAAACCCCACGGCGACCAACACTAGCGCTAATCAAGTGGTTATTATTCAACGAACGTCTTAAAGTTAATGCAAATAATCTTTACTTTGAATTTTTGACAAAAATTTGATGCTCGACCGATACTGTGGTACTATCATTGCAAGAGTACTTACATACACATATAACATTTTTCTGCCTTGTTTTCGAGCATGCGTACAACGTTTCAGCGTCACTCACAGACATGTTTCCGCGTTATTAAAAGGAAAGTTTAGTGACTACAGGTGTAAAAAGGGTTGCAGGGCTGAAAGGGATACGGAGATGCAGTGCAGTGGTAGATCCCGCGAGGTTCATCTGGGGGCACCTGGGACCCCATAAATTACGACCCTTCAAAAACAAAGACACGTTGAATGTTTTTTACCGGTAGTCACTAGAGTCAATTTGTCTTCTAATGTCAAAAGAAAGGGTACTTACGTAGTCTATTTTCAATTTTAACCCCGTCGACTTACTTGCCGACTTATCAACTGATCCATCGGCGGTCGATAAGTTGCCATCGCAATAGTCGGTAATCCGGCAGTCGGTAAGTTGCCATCTGATTGGTCGGTAATCCGGCAGTCGGTAAATTGCTGCGTAGCTTCTTGGTTTCGGAAAATTGGTGGGTAAGCTGTCGAATAGTTTCCGTTACTTTAATATAGATGGTGCTACGATCGAAAATGAGAATCTCACCTCTTCGACGTATCGGATGCCGAGATGTAAGGGTTGCGGCTCATGGGGGGTGGGATAAAATTATTAAGTTCATCTATCTTATCAATTTATTGAATAAGCTAAAAAAATTAAATAAACGCAGAAAATAAAATAAAGGTATAGCTATGATTAACAGATAGATCCGCATCCCTCGGCTGTCGCTATAAGACTGACGGTGAGTGGGTTTGACTTCGGGCTAGGTTGATCGGTTGATAATGTTGCCCGATTAGCCGTGACGGGCCGTTTCATCGTCACGTCATCGCCACGACTGGCTATCTTTACTTTAATGAAACTACCGCGATCAATGATGACAGATTACATATTGGAGGCGCGTTGTCTATAGGTACATAGATGACCAATTCGAATTTGTTTGTAATTTCAGATGCTAGGTGTGCGTTTATGACGATTGCAAAACGTTCGTTCGATATAACGTTGTAGAAAACGAAGACAAGGAAGATCGAGCGGTTTGTCGCGCGATCGTCCGCTGTCCGTAGCGGTGTGCAAGCGGAATAAAGATAAGCAAAACTACTAAGGATCGGTCGCGAGGCGAGAACAAAAGATAATCGTATGCGTCTGTTTTGTCGAAACAAAAGTGGTCGCACTTCTGCCAAGATAGTCAGTCCGTCGTTCGAAACGATCTTACGTCTTACGGTGTTAAGCGTTTCTCTTCCCTTTCGTAAGTAGTACGCGACGGAGTGAAAGCCGGTGACGTACGGTGATCGACCACTGATCGATTCTCAACAAAGTTATAACGGAGAATGTCGCGTAATTTGTCGGAAACCGAGAGAAAAAAGAATCAATTCGATAAGGAGGAGCGTGTTCATTTATTGGCTATAATGAAGCAATATGCTCCGTTGTTGGATACGAGCACCTCCACTCTGGCTCGTAAGCGGATTTGGACGATCATCGAGGAGGAATTCAAGAAAGCGGGCTTCACGCGCAAAACCTCTGCTCAGTTGAAAAAGTACTGGCAGAACTACAAGTACCATTGCAAGAAGGCCAAAGTATTGGGCAAGGTATTCATGTGTTTTATAACGACCTTACGATTATACCGTGCTCGTCATATTTTCTTTTCGTTCCGTTTCATTTCAAAGAAGTCACGGAACACGACCGATTGCGAGAAAAAGAACTTTTCGTTTTAATTTGAAATTTAATTTTTCTGCAAGCGTGTCGTCAACTCTCCTCTATTGTTTTCTCCAATTGTTCCACTGATGCGCAAAATTTTATATGTATCGTAGGAAAGTAAAAGATGTAGAAATTCAGGCGATAACGAGTCCGTTGAATGGAACCGATACCAGATCTTTGTCGATAATCAAGCCGTGACAAAGTTTCCGGAAGTTTCCGAATCTCTTCGCTCGATGTCCGATCGTTTGCAAAGCTCGTCTACTGAAATGTATCAACACGATGGGAGCTCAACTGGAAAATTGAATACCTCGGATGCCAGCATTGGTATCTCTTTTTCGTTTCACCTTCTTTGCTTCTTTTTTTAACTACAAAAGAAATATTTTTAAGTCAAAGGCAAATTTCTTCTCTTCTTAATATCCTTTGAATCGAAGAACGATTTAACTTACCTAAAGACTTCTGAATAGAAATAATTGTCCGTTTAATTTCAAAGACTTGTCGCGGGTGAAGATGGAACGAAACGACGAGGAAACTATGAGCAACTATTGCGACATGGAAGAAACGAATCCGTTGAAGGATTTAAGTCTCGAAGAGGACAGTTTGGATGAGAAGAAAGAGATTTTTATGAACGAGGATCAACTAGTGTCGCCATCGACCACCACGGCGAAACATAAAACGAGGAATCGTATCGTGGTGTCGAATTCAAGAATTTCCAACAACAGCGTCACGGTCTCGGTCATTTATCCGGAAGCTCGCAACGAAACAGACTTCCTATCCATCAGTAAATCAGGTAAATGGATAAATTTGTGTTTTAAAATGAAAAGTATAGATAGCTCGAGTCTACTGTTTTCTCTAACCTTCGCGCAAATAGCCATTACATACATATGTATATGTATATTAGCGGAGGTATCGTGGAACGAGTGCAAAGAGAAATCAAATGATTTGAATTTAAGTGAAAATCCGAACGCTATATACTCTGCACCACTCGTCGATTGTCCTAATTTATTCGAATACGATAACGATCCAGGAAACTTGGATAGGACAAATGGAAGCGCAAGTAAGATAATTTAAACTCTGTACGCCGTAGGTGTTTTTGTTCCCGTAAGCTTTACGCCATAAGAGATCTCAAAACGTGTCCTGACGAGCAGTTACAGATAACGAGAAAATTCATTTGTTCGGACATAACGGAAGCGAGAATTTCATTCACGCGAAACAGATGGATGATGATTTTGATTGTACGGGAGGAAAGAACGATGTCACGGTTCGAGGGAAATGTCCGAAAACTCGGCAGAACGATGCTTCCCGTTCGAGAGGTTGCGTGTTTCTGACCGATTATAGGAATAGACTTAGGCATCGGTTACTCTTGCAGCAGCTCGAAGTAGGTTGATGAAATGTTTGTTGAAATTCAAGCAAAGATCCAAGTACAGAGACGAGATTTTCGTTGCAGACGGAGGAGAAACGTTTGAAGGTAAAAATCGCCGAGATGACGTTTCAGGAAGTGCAGCTCAGGATAAAGGCTCTGTACGAGGATATGCGACGCACCGAAGAACTGCATCGGTTGCGTTTGTTGCAAGCGGCGGCTTCGGCGGCTGCTTCGGCGGCTGCTTCGACCGCGACGACTACCATTGGAAATGGAAAGACAAACAACGTTTAGAAAAAGTCTAGACCGATGAAACAGGTTATCAATGAAAATTGAAAAGAGAAGAAGGAAGAAAGTGAGCGATCGTTTGTGCTTCAAATTATTTTTATTAATCGTTAATCATCATTATCGTGTGTTACGATGTCGTCGTCATTTAGAAAAAACGCATGGGACCATACAAAATAACAATGCGCTTAGATTTTCGTGGTAACCGAGCAACGTATCGAGGTCGCAATACAATTTTCTTCTTTTCGCTGGTTTCCGTCGTTGATCGATCGAACTGAACGAACCGTATCATCGACGGACCCGATATTGTCAACGAATCGTCAACAAAGTAACAAGAACATTTTCTCGACGAAACACGTGTCGTCCCTTTGACTTACTTCGCGTTTATACTTTGCGTCTATACTTAGCGATCGCTATCGCTTGTCCTTTCGTTCCCCGCCGCGCCACCTCGCTAACTAGCGATTTTTCCTCGTATTTAGTGATTGTTAATAATTATCACAGAAAGTTCATAAAACAATGACCTTGACGTATCTTTGCGTGTACATACAATCATTTGCTGCTTGTACGCTCGAGTGTGCGTGTCTCGCGTATCTTCTGTCGTGCTATTTGTCGTGTGCGTGTGTTTGTTTCCTTATTTGCGTGTGGGTGTTAAGATGTGTAGGTGTTACGTATTATCATTTTCTCCCGCTTATTCCTTCCGTGTACGTCCTGTTTTTTTCATTTTTTCTTATCATCATTGTCTTTTCGCGGAAGGAGAGACAAAGTATGGTTACGCGGTTCAAAGACGGAAAAAGATTGTTTCGCGTTGCTGTTTTAAGTAGAGTAACGATGGATTAGCGTGTAGTATATAACTAGCGGTAACAGTATAGCGATACGAGTAGTAGCGATACAAGTATAGCGTTCTTAATTTTGCAGCGCTTAAAAATATTTAGTTACGCTAGAGTGTAGAATAGTTAGTTCGTTTTAATTTAATGCATAAACAGGATTGTTGTCGTTTTCCTCTTTCGAAATCATCGCATCGCGTCGAGTCGACAAGTAGAGACAGAGAGACAGAGAGACAGAGAAGAGAAACCGACAGGTGATCCGTTCTGCCATCGATCAATTTTCCACACCGAGAAAAGAACCTTACAAAGTCGTTTTGATTGTCGCGATAAAATTGTCCGCCATAATCGAATTCTAACCTGAAGCTGGCTGTAGCATTGTCTTCTTTGGTTAACGCGGAAAACGACCATTGAAAGTCGAAGCAAATCTTTTCAACGGTAGAACTTTAAAAATGTAGAGTTTTTCTCTTCTGTTCCCCTGTCTGGTTTTCTTCTATGTTTTGTAACGTCCATTCTCACACGTTTCTTCCTTGCCCCGTACCAGTGACGAGTGATAAAAAGGAAGAGATCGTAGCTCGACGAAGCTTTGCTACGAGAATTTTTACACGGAAAGCAGCTAGAAATCTCACTAAGCGAAAGTCTTGTTTTTTTCTTTTTCTCTTTCATTTTTTTTTTTTTTGAAACTTTTTTTCTTTTAAACCGTTATAATTCCCTTTGAAAATGTAAAAATTGCTTAAAACAACTGTTAGTTCGTGATTCGCCTCGATTTACCACGAATTGTCTCGAACCGTATCTATTTTATTCAACACTTACGTAGCCATTCGTGGTTTTGACTTCACCTCGAACCGATGGTTGCTTCTATCTTTGATGGTCGGTCCTGTCAACGATCGACCCTCCTTCCGATCGGTTCTACGATTTATGTAGCTGGATAGAAGGCACGACTACGACCCTCCCGACGGCTGCTCCCGAATCCCAAACGAGTAACTTTCGAAACATCTTGCCTACCTTTATTTATCTCCCTGCTACGATGTCGCATTAAGAACCTCTCATCGATACGGTTAACATAGTTGTTCGATTATTGCTAGTATTCGAGCTACGTTACGCGAAGAGATCGCAACTCACCGATCGTTCAATGTTTGCTCGTCGTTTTTAGTTTCGAAAGGTGTTCGCGCTGGACGAATCGGTACCGCGCATACAGGTACATCGGCTCGATAAAAACGTTTAACGTGTGTGACAAGTTGTCTGCACCGTCGAGCCAAAGGACGCGGTGCAGAAGAAATATTTCTGATCTTCGAGGAACAAGAATAACGTTAACTTATCTATCTACAACTATTTACGGTTCGTCTTTCTCTACAGACTGCAAGATCTAATAGCGTACCGTCCTGTGTAAGTACTTTACAGGTACGATCGACGAAGGAGGCGTCGCATCACGAAAAATAACTTGATAGCGCAACAAGTAACGCGTGAAATCTTCTTCGGTCGATCAATTTCGAATGTGTACACAAAATCGGATCAAAAGAAGTTAAAAAAAGATCGGTTCGAGGATAGCGTGGAAAATGTGGAAAATACGGGTAACGCGAAAGAGGTGGATCGTTGAGGATTGTATCCGACCGATGCGATGTCGTTTTATTCGTCGAATACATGGAAGTCTGCTGATTTTTCCGACAGCTGGGCTTGAAAAGTTTCTCGATCGAGCCGTCACGCGTCGAATTGGATCAGTCTCGACGTGATTTCGTTCCTTTGCACAAGTCTCTATCGAACGGTAATCCGACTAGTAATCCCGTTCGCTTTGAATTGATCGCCAAAAGAATGTATGCCGTCTTTTCTAGTCAACTTTTCAGCACCAAGTTCTGGAACACGCGCTGCATCATAAGCACTTTTCAACTTCAGCGAGACGTCGCCATTTTTGAAAAGGGAATTGTTCGATAAACCATACGCGATAAATAACGCGTTGGTAAATCAAATTTCTTTCTAAATTTGTTCAGTCAATTTTGATGCCAGGTTTATTATAACCGATGCTACGGTTGCGGAACGCGAGTTTCGCAAAGTTTCCTGGTCGTGGGGTAAAGTAAATTCGCGTTTGCTGGTTGCAACTGTTTACCATCCGCTTACCGGTTCGGTTTTCAATCGACGTTGATCGGGTTCTGGTAGAATTTACGTAAAAGCATCGACACGAAAACGGCATTAGGGTCGCGTAGCACCGCGACGCGGCAACCGTTCTTCTCGTATTTGGGTCGCACGCGCTACAACTGGAGCGATTTTTCACCTCCAATCCTTTTCTTTGTTATCGTTTACAAAGAGAAACCGCGATTAACGCGACGACAATGGAACGGTGAAACGGTACGCGCATATTTTTCGATTACACTTTTCATTTTTCCAAGTTTATCGTTGAAAAGGGAATAATTCTCTGGAGAAAATGGAATGGCCGGAACGAGGTCCGAATGAAAAGAGCGCGACAATTTGGATAAACGAAGCGAAATAAAGTAAATGGAGAGTAAGTAAGTCGGGCAGGGTCGTTCCGAGTACTCGAGAAAAAAACGGAACGATAATGGCACGTCGCGTCGCGTCGAATGATATTTACCGTCACCGTACACCCGCGAATCCTGAAACTTCAATGCGAACATGCCGACGAAAGAAAAACAGATTTTTCGAAGTTTACCAATATCGGGCAATTTTTTCTTCACCGTCGAAATTTGTTGTTCGAGGAAAGGATCGGTGTATGTACATAAGTCGTCTGTTGATTCGAAAACTTTTCGAACAACTTTAACCTGAAAAGTACGCGGAACAAGCTTAATCGAACGCTTAATTACGGGCATAAATTTCCACCTGCAGCTGGTAGTTTGATGGTAAAAACTGGACGTAATTCGAAAAAGTGGTGGAAAGTTCTCGCTATGTTTTAGTTGTAATAAACGCGAAACGGGGAAGAAAACTGTGAAAAGAAACTGCCGCGTTGTATGGGTGCAACCGTTATCGATCGAGGCAAGATGCGAGAATGCTGGAAGAAACCGCAAATCGTGCTAAAGAGAAACAGTAAATTGTCTGAAACGATCCACAAAAAGAAAAGATGCAAAATTATGAGAGGTTGCAAAATTTCCCGTTTGTTTTAAAAGGAGGAATGGACAAATTTCTGCAAAATCATTTAGCAGATGATCTTCCTTTTTCGACTTTTCATTGTCAAAGTAGCGGACCGCAGGCCACGAGGTTCCACTGAATTTTTCATGGACTTTCGTCTGCTAAGCGGGACACGTTTGAAGAGTAACTTTATCCAGTGATTTTTTAACAAGATCCCGAGCCTCCGGGCATCGTAAATACGTAATACCGCCGAGGGATGTGCAATCCAGTTGCTTGTTTCTTCGCCGTATATTTATTGCTCGAACAGAGAATATTTTCCAACGTTAGCCGTTTCTTCGAGAGGATTGCGCGTTTCGTTCTTTTCCTGTTTCCATCGAATAGGAATGAAAATTTCTTTTCGTTATATAGGAAGAAGATCGAAGAAAAGGCGAGGATTGATGAAGAAAGAAAATCTGGAGCGTAGGAGATGAATGGTGGAAATCAGGCGTATTTTAATAAGTTGATGGGAAGGTAGCATTCCGATGGGTGCCTCTTTATCTTCGGCCATTTTGCGTATTCGTTCGACTACCCTCTCTTTCAACGGAACTTTTACCTTTGCAAACGTTTCGCAGCGACTCGTTGAATAAATGATGTTGTAATTTCGATTTCCACGCGATTTAATTAGCGGTTCGAGTTAATGGAAAAATGAGCGTGTAACCGACAACTCGTAATAACGACGCGAGTAAGTAGTACGTGTTTGGATAAATGAAACAGTCGTGTCGAAACGATTATTCGTTGGTCGGAAAGTTGGCAGGATGGTTACCGCGAATGCACGCAAACAGAAAACTTTTCGTTCTACACAATACGAGAAGCCGAGATAATTTGTTCGTTAAAGTTCCAAGGGGTAGGTAAGTAACGGTTCTTGTTCGTAACGCGAACAAGCTTGCTTTTTCATTCATCCTGCTTTCTGACCGATTGCTCGACATCTCTCTTTCGTTACTCCATACGTTGCTACGTCTTGGATATTTCTATTTCTATCGTGTCAATTGTTGAACGTGAAAATCCATCAATGAATATTCACGGGACACGCGAGTGGCCGATTCTCACGAAAACGTAATCTACCTAATCTCGTCGTTCGCCTCCTGTCGTCGTTCGTACAAAGAAAGTTCGGTCGAGTACTGAGAACTAGGAAATCGACCATCAAGTCAAACTACTCGAGTCTTCTACCTTTCTATCGACGCTAGCGACGTTACCGTCGCACGATTTTCCAAACGGTTCGTGCAAGAAAAGAAAACAGGTATATAAATAGCTAAATAGATAAATAGAGAAACAGTAAGAGAACGAGAACGAGAACGAGAACAAGAACGAGAACGAGAACTAGAACGTGAACGTGAACGAGAGAAGATTCATCGTAGAGGGTCGTTTCGCGTCGATGTTACCTAGGTATGCGTGTACGTCGGGCTGCGTGATTACCGGGAGCCAGTTTACATCCGTTCGAGCGATCGCCGCTTTCCTCCTTCTTGATCCGTTCAATTAGCAGCGATCGAGGAATCGTCATCCGACTTGCAACGAGCTGTCACGTTACTCGCCGCCCAACGATAACGCCTGCACGATCCTTGGATCGGCTTTGCTACCCTCCCGAAACTCCTCCAGAGTTAGCTTGTCGTCGTGATTTTTGTCCATCTGATCAAATATCTTGTCCACCCTTTTCTGCGGTGTGTTCTCGTCTTCCGCGTGCGGCTGCTGTCCCTGAAATATCGTGCGCGTTAATTACTTGAAGGGGTAGGTGAAAGACGAAGAAAAGGTGAAGTCAGCGCGGCGGTTAATTCGAGTTTTCCGTGTCGATAAGTTGTAGGCCGAAAGCGAAAAGGTGGAAAGGAAAGGGGAATTTCGAGAGCGGTTTAAATCGATCGACGGCTTTGCGTTTTTGTCGCGTTATCGGCCATCGCCTCTTTAGTCGAAGCTGCTCGACCTCTCGAGCGTTCGACCGAGTTTACAGAGATGCTTCGATATAACCGAAATCTGGTTAATTCGCCCTCTTCAAAATGAAAATCTTGAATCAAAGGAAGGTTGAACGAATTACCTCGTTTAATCCTCCGCGCGAGTTAGCGTATCTTGCATCTCGCGTTTGCATCGGCTTAGCAAAAAAAAAACGCGAGTTGCACCATTTACGTTATTGTACGCGTCCCTGGCATTTATACGCTTTGCCGCGGACGGATTCTATCGCGGGTTACTCGCGCAGATCCCTCGAATTAAAGTCTTTCTTTGTTTAGACCTGCAGAGGTGTATGGCTTTTAACGCGATACCTTTGCGTTTCATTCTCTGTTTAAGGAAATGTAAATTACACGAGAACACACGGGTACAGCAATTCGCTGAGAAAACGCGAAAGCCGCGCCGATTATCTTTTCTTCGTTTTCATCTAATATCTCGCGTCAAAGTTCACTAGTTCACGACCTACTTTTGCCATTTTAATCCCAACACGACGCGAAATCAATTTTCCTTCTTCTCGAAAAAATTTTCAACTGGCAGTCTTTTTTTCCTGAACGGTGATCGCTCGATGAAAAATTACTCTCACAAGGGCAACTACCCAAGTGTTACACTCACTTATTAATGAAACTTTGCCAGCTTGTAGAGCTCGTCGAGTTGAACACGCTTATGCTCCCTTTGGGGGCAGACGGCTAATTGTTTAAAAGATATTAACAATCACAGTTAGTTACTCCTTACATTCTGAAGTATGACAAACTCACACATACAACTCGCAATCTAGAGATTCATGGTTCAAATCCTTGGTTCCCAACACTTTTTTTTTTTTAATAATAATTTGTCTCTTTTTGAATAACTATTATATAAAAATTATCATAACAAAAAAAAAAAAAAATTTTGGGAACCAAGGATTTGAACCGAGGACCTTCAGATTGCAAGTCATGGATCCGCTCCGTGGTTAAACACATGACTCGCAATCTAAAGATCCTCGGTTCAAATCCCTGGTTCCCACTTTTTTTTTTTTTTTTTTTTAAGTGATAATTTGTCTCTTTTTGAATAACTAAAATTCTATATAATTCTAAACTAAAATCCTATATTCTATTTTGAATAACTTAAATTCTATAAAAATTGCAGTGTATGTGATTAATTATTAATAAATGCAATGATTATAGCACAGCTGTAATAGTTATTCAAAAAGAGACAAATTATAATTTAAAAAAAAAACTTGTGAACCATGGATTTAAACCGTGGACCTTCAGATTGCGAGTCAAGGAGTCTGTCATACTTCTCAATGTAAGTAGTAACTAACTTTAATTATTAATATCTTTGAAACATTTAGCCGTCTGCCCACAAAACGGGGTATAGGCGTGTTCAGCTCGACGAGCTCTACAAGCTGGCAAAGTTTCATTAATAAGTAAGTGTAACACTTGGGTAGTTCTCTGTATCAGTTATACGGATGCTTTAAATCGTAAAAATTTCACGATTCGCGTTAAAATTAACACCGGTCGACGTTCAGTGCAATTTGCTCAATTTGCGCTAGCAGAGTATTCCTAGGTAATCATTTATTTACGAATATTATAAACTTTCGCTGAAAGCGTTCAATGACGAAAGCTCTCGCGATTCGTCGTTCGAAACGCTCTCGGTTGTTATAAAGGCGTTTTTTGAAGCACACCTCTTACCCCGTAAACGTTGCATGTAATTTAAAGATGCGATCAAAATAAAGAGACAGTAATGATCGACCGGTTGCAAACTCGATAACGTTGATAATGATAATAAAGGTAGGCAGCACGGCGCAAACTTATTTTTCCTTCCAGGAACGCGGACCTTTTCATCATCGGATAACGATTAAGGGCATTGACTTTCCTTCGTAACTTTCGCGTGCAGAACGTTCAGACTTTTTCAGATAAAGCATAAACGCGCTATCGTCTACGGTTATTTCGCGTGTTTAGCTGAAACAGATTCGAACGTCGAATTACACACACTAGTATAATAATTATTTTATCTGAAACGAAACAGCTATTTATTAGGTCGTGTAGACAAACTTTGTACTGTTACGAACGAGTACGACCATTCTGTTTCTTTACAATTTTCCTACATGCATTTTTTCAAACTGTTACTCTTATCAACCAGATTGTGCGAATAACATTTTATAACGGCACGAGCTTTTGGAACGATCTAATATTACAGTAGGTACAATTACGAATCTACGTTCGAGCACATTGGCCGACTTTTAACAAGCCGTAATCTTGTATCGCGGCATCGGCAACAACACAGATTTCTTTTTTAGCTATACAAGGTGTTTCAAGAAACATGTAAGTAGGTAGGTAAACCTAGTTTAGATTTAGATTAGATTTTGAAAGACGAACTATCGAAGATCAAGATTAATTGCAAAAGAATGAAATAAATATAATAAGGGGGTGGTAATCCGTGGCGCCGCTGGTGCCAATGCGAATCCAACGTTATCGATAACGCAGTGTTCTCTGCGTCGCGTCGGCGTTTCACGAGGAAATTCGGGCATCGATCGGCCAAGATTTTCCGCGAGCTCCGCGAGATCGATTGTAACTTCGAATCTGACTGCGTTTCCTGCGCCAGTACTGTCTCTTTTTCACCCCCCCATTGAAATTTCTCGACCACTCGCGGTAAGCTTTCGAAATGAAAGAAAAAGAAAAGGAAGATGAAATGCCCAGCATCGTTATTCATCGACGAGCAACAAATAAATCTGTAATCGTTGATGGACAGTAACAATCGATGAGCGTTCGTGCGTACACGAACGAACTATCAAACAATCGATCGTAACGTAATTACTTGATTCAATTAACTTTGATCGGGTCTACCGTTACTCACGGTAGAAACAAACTTTGTAATTATCTCGAATAACGAGCGATAGAGCGTTTAAGGAGAGCGTCCGCTGAAATGATGTTACTTAGCGAAATAATTGCAACGAACCAGATAAATTAACTTCGAACGATCGTCCTGTCTACAAGTTTGGACGTTCTCCGAAAATAATTTTCTTTTCGTCGACATTCGAAACGAAACGATCCCCGACAGGGTGACCCAGTAACGACGAAGCTGCAACGCTTTCTTTGCCGTACGAACAACGCGGAATATTTATCGTTCCTACTTTGACCGCGTTTTTCATGAAACCACAACTTCGAATTTACCGAATGGCTCTTCTTTACTATCTTATTGTTAGAATTGCCGATCGATGCGCGCTTACTTTCCTCGTTTGCTTGACTCGATTTTCTCGTTTACGCTAACTGGATGCATCGTTTCAAAGGCATCATTTCGTCGCTGCTTCGCTATTCTTGTTCGAAGTGAATCCCGGTTATTGCAGAGTTTAAACGAAGAAGGAGGAACCATGTGGGAAAGTTACGGAGGGAAGGAACAGCAGCTTCACGTGGAAAGGAAAAATAAAGAGGAGTATAAAGTTTGCTGGAAACGTTGAAAGTAAAAAGTAAAAAGTTAAAAGCCTTGTACTCACCACCATCTCGTATATCGCATCAACGATATTGTACATCTCCTCCCTGGTGATGAAACCATCGTTATCCACGTCGTACAATCGAAATGCCCCTGGAAGTAAACGAAAAATCGATACCTCTCCAGCGTAGTTTCCGTGAAACGCGCAGAATAATATTGTTTGCGAAAAACGAGCGATTATTGTACATCGAGTGTAACAGGCATTTAGACATTTCTAAAAATAACCATGTAAAATATTCAAGTCTCATCGGTTCGAGAACGTCGTCTCGTTTATTATTCCTTTGACGTCACAGAGTACCATACGTGTCTTTAAGAGCATTTATCTCTCGTAATTTCGTATCTTCCACGATTCTTCTTGTTTGTTACCGCGTAAAGTTGTAGCACTACAAACGTCTGTGTCTTGTTTGACACGCGATAAGAGTAGATTACGTAATATCTAACGCTTCGATATTCAAATCAGGTATTCCGAGTAATTTCACAAAAATTTCCCTTTTTCAATTCGTTCTATAATTATTGGACTAAACGAAAATCGTAGTAGCGCGAGTGGTAGGGTCTGGTGACATTTAACGGGTTAATATTTTAGCTTCTCGGAAGAGGTTCGTTTCTCTCGTTTTCGCCAACATTTTTCAGAGCGTGACAAGTTTGCTTTATTACTCACAGTGAAGTTTCTCGTCCAAGTTGCCGCGCGACGTCACCGACAGCGCCCTTATGAACTCTTCGAATTCTATCGTGCCGTCCTGCAAAACAACCCTTCCTGCAGCTTCTTTCTCTACACCGGTGTACACCCGTTGCCTATCCCAGGCGTCTGGCACGTCGGTATCTAACGTTACGTTTCAGCGAAACTTGTTCGAACACCGTGAACCCTTTCATCGTCAGTCCGCGAGTTAAGAGAATTAAGACAGCCGGATAAATGGTAGAAAGGTTAACGAAAATTCTTTCGTTCACCTGTGGCTTCGTATCAAAGTTTCGCGGTCGAAACTATGCGGCGCGCGAAGATAAAGTTGCAAAAAGTGCGTTACAAAGACTTACGCTGTTCTCGTCGAACACCCTGAAGACCAGGGAGGCGAATTTCGATGGATCGCCTTGAGGAAAGAACTGCTTGTAGATTTTTATGAAACCCTGAAATCACGCAACAGGCTCGCTTATCTTCAAACTTCCTTCGTGCGTATCGATTTTCGTTTAATTAAGGTGCCAGTTGAAACGAGGTCATACCTGTTCCGTCAGCAAGCCATCGGGGCAGTCTTTCAGGAATCCTTTGTGCCTAAACAAATAGTCGCCAAAGTTATCGAACCTATTCTCGCATTTTTTATATCTTTTTCTTTTTTCTTTACCAAAAAATGCAACGACTCTATATAACTCCAATAAATAACGTATCGACGTGTCTGAAATACGTAGTCGAACATTTTGATCGGGCGAACGTGGCTTTCGAACACGATCAGAAACTCGCCCAAGGAGAATGATTTAGTTTCGTTCGTGCGAATCGTCGAATCAAGTTATTTTCCAAGCAACATTTCTCACTATTTTATCTTTATCGCCGAAAGAATCTTAACGAAACCGATTATTTTCTCGCTACTCACCATTGTCGAATTTCCTTCTCGGTAACTGAAACAAAAATCAATGACAATGTTTATAATCGAACGTATAATAGAAGCAAAATAATAGAAAAAAAAAAGGAACGCCAAAGGATAATGTTCGGAGAAGATTCCGCAAATCCGTTTTTCGCGTTTCCGAAAGGTTTTACTATCTATCAGCTTCTCGAATTCTCTGCTGAGCGTCGCGGAAATTGAACATTGGATTTCTGAGCAGAGCGATATCGGTTCGATAGAAACGCGAAACGCAGGAAGGATATGACCGTTTATTAAACGTGGAAACCAACAAAATGATTTGGTAATGGGAAAATTTGTAAAAAAACGCTATCCTCGCAATTTTCAAACGTCCCTTTAAAATTCCAAGGTAACATATCGAACACGACCTCGATTAATTAATCGTTTCGAAGGTTGGATCGTGTTTTAATAGGAAGCAGAGAGAGTACGGTTAACTATCGACGATTGAACAGCGTCCACAAATCGGCGAAAAGAGAATTCTCGATAGGAAAAATCGCCGCAATGCAGGCCACCGTTTCGCTGATGAATTGAATTTATTCCAAGGTGGAAAAGCGTATCGAGGTCAGATAATCGATACGTCGATCGTTAGCACGGAAAACGTTCGACGATGAGCAATTAAAATTTCTTTTAACGCGAATGCGTGCTTTTATTGCAGACAACTCGTCGAAAGACACACGTTGGTACATTTACCCCCTTTTTTTCGATTTTTAGAAACCGCGTATCGAGTTGGAAAGTGGTCCAACATTGGACGATAATGGAATTTCACGAGCTTTTAACACAGCTTTGAAAAAATATTATAAACCTAGGTAAAAAGGAGGTACGACGACTTTTCTTCAGCTTTGAAAACGAAAGCTGGTTGTTGTTAAATGAGCAAGTAGCTGGATAGAAAGAATCGCTTCGCAGAGTATCTCGTATGAAAATCGTTGATTCCTTGGTAATTTTTTAAGCTGTCTTTTGACAAATCGAGCATGCATAATGTTGCTGGCACGTGGGTTTGGCCGCGCATCATTTTTAACATCCCTCCGATAAATTTGCGTCCAGTTTTCAAGCCAACACGCAATTTTACCTGAACAAGGTCGTTTCGTTTTCGACAGAGTTCTCGCGAAAGCCCCTTTGTTCCATTCCTAAGCATCGTACAAATAACCTGGCAAACTAAAATTTCCTTTTTATTCGGGATAAAGGTTCATTTTTGATAGGATAAAATACAACGAGTACCGAACGCGTATTCCTGCAAGTTGCTCGGTTTCCTTGTTTCCTTAGATGCTTTCCGGAGAAACGGTGCATCGGTAAGCGGTTTTGCCGGCAAATACGATAAAGTTGCGAAGGCGCATCCGAAGCAGGAGAACGATGCTGTTTCGAGCACTCGGTCTCCAGGGATCGAACGTTTCGAAGAGTTTGAAGAAAACGATCGGTCGTCACAGGGGACGAGAAGTTCATTCCTCATTACGTGTTTCGAAAGCTATCGATCTGCTGCACGAGCAACCGACACCTAATTACTTTCTATCAACGCTTTCATCCCCATTCGAGGAATACGTATTTAGTAAGAAACAAGCTTTCGGAGCGACGTGGAAAAAACGTTTCACGATATCAAACACCGGCAACCGAATGGTTGATAAAACGTTCAACAGTCCTTAAAATCTCAAAGCCAACACGTAACAGTATTAAAAGCCGCAGGTAAAGGTCGGTTGAATTTTTAATAACGCTATTTAAAGCCCTGTAACGTATACAACGGTATAAAAAGAAAATGAATAATGCCTGGTAGAAATCGTGGCGAGATCCAACGCGCGATAAACCGTACGACGTACGAGGAAAGTTAACAAGAGGAAAATTAAATCGTCCTGAAACTTTTTCAGCTGCTAGTTGATTTGCTAAAACTTTCCAGCGGAATAATCGAGGAAGCAGTTACCCGGCCAAAAGAGGAAACGATAAGCCGTCATTTTGCGGACCTGCAGGACAGGACGACGCGTCGCGACACGAGCAACGCCAACGTCGACGACGTTAAAGGAAGAAGAGATTATCCTTGCGGAAAGGACGAAGCGACGCGGTGACATCGCTTGGAAAAGCGTCGCGACAGCGAGAAGAGAATATAGGCGTTACGATATTGTAGGGTAACAATCATTTCAGCCACGTGGCCAGTACTTTACTGTCCGCCACGCTATACGTCGCGACGCCACCAACTACTGAATCGAACGAATAATTTATATCTCCACGTGTACAAAACAGCTGCCAGTTTCAACCACTTTTTTCGCAATGCGTTCGTTCCTTTTAACTCGTACTTGTTCGGTTCCCTCGTAGACGTTGCATATTTTTTATTCATTTATTTAATTATACAACGAACGAGAGATAATCGCACACGACACGAAAGTATCTCTACTCTCGAAAAACTTTGGTTCCGTCGCTTATTTTCAAGCTCGCTGTTGAATCGTCACATTTTTCGCTCGATTTGTCACTTTAATTCGTCGTTCCCATATTATTCTCGTAATCGGTCGCATTTTTTATACCACCTTTTTCCTATTTCCGTCGTCCGTCTTATCCGCTCCATGTACTTACTAAAGCAATTTCCATTAACTCGAAGAATTTTACCGCGCCGTTGCGCTGGTCGATTTGCACTGATCGACGATTTAATCGATCAACGGATGCTTCAGATTACACGGATCAGCACTGCGTCACGTCGGATCGAGGAATTTTGACGTGTACAACGTGTATATCTAGGTTGGATGCAAAAACGTGTGGGAGAAAGTTCTTTGGAAGAAGGAATACGTGAAACTACGCGACCGAGTTGTTTACCGGATCCAGGAGGATAAATATTTACCTGAGAAAAAGAGCGTTTGACGAAACATTTCGTGATAGGCGATACCTCGCGAACGTGGTAGCATGACGCGGAGTCAATTCGTTTGAGTAATTAGCGAATCGGCGATTAATCATTTTACAATTACGAGCACTATAACGAGCAATTTCGACGGGGAGCTTGAAGAAAGTTTTCGCGTCAACCGCAGAATTCTGATGCCTGTCCTCTGATGTCTGACCAATATGCGTGTCTTCTGCTAAACCCCTGTTCGACCTCGTAATTGCTTCCAGGCCAACAAGGCTTAATTGCTCTTCATCCATTTCCCTCCCTTTTCTCACGCCCACGCATCTTTCAATGCTCTTCTCCCTTCTTCACATTTTACTTCAACGACTTTCCCTCCTTTATTTCCTCTTCTTTTCTATTTTCTCCACTGCTCTTACAGTCTGATTACTTTTCTCGCTTAACCCCGTCCAACCAGAATCATATCGTACGTCGAACGCGCTCTTTTTCGCTTCGCCATTGCCCCTTCGTTCCCTTTAACTACTTTTCCCCAATCTCTTTCGCACCGTTTACTCCACTTGCCTCGGACTACTTTTCAAACTTATGCTTTACGATCCGCGGTTCGCTCACTCTTGCCGAAAACTTCTCCTCTCGATTCTTACTCCACTTTTATTTCGCATTGGCCACATATCAGTTTCGATATCGTTCCGAACGATCTGTTATTTCGAACGAAAGGAGCGATAATTTGTCCGAAGAATGTGTAGCGATGATTAACAAAAGCAATGTGTTATCTCTTTAAAACAAGCTTCCTTTCATTCGTCTCGTTATTTTTATTTCTTGCTTTTTCATACGTGTTCTTACTGTTCTCGTTGGATGCAGTTTCCCGTCTTTCGTTCTCGGTAATAAAGCTGAAAATCTCTCGTTTCGCAAGCCAAAGGCGGTGCCGCGAGAGTCGTCTCTCTTCTCTAATCCCCGGCTCGGCGAAGCTCGTTCTAACGTTTGAAGAAGAAGCCCCTGGCTTTCAGGTTTGCTCGAAAGCGGTTCAGGCTCCTCTGAAACTGGCCGACTAAACTCCGGAGGATCGTTTCGGGTGGTCGTCGATACCGATGTCGCTGCTTTAACATCCATAATGATTTTCAAGAAATAAAAAATAAGAAAAGAATTTGTTGAATTCGTCAAGATAACAAAGTTGGCAAATGGGTCGAGTTCGAGACTCGTGAAATAAAGAAATTTTCCGCTTGGTCAAGTATAAAAAGTAAACACGCGAGTGCATCGAGGACGTACAAATTCAGCGAAGCGGAAAGATTTTGGTGGAGTTTCCGTCAAAGCCGATGGTCACGATTCGAAACGTTCTGCATCGTTTGCGGAACACTCGCGGACCATGGGACAGACCAGGCCACGGACCGTTTGGTCGCTCGTTAATTAAAATAACTTCCGAAAACTTTATTGTCTGCGCTAGAGACGATTGCAAAGCTCGGCAGTGTGGCGGCGTTGAAATGGGAAAACTTTCCGAGATCTTGCTCCGAAAAACATCAGCGGCTGAAACTTTTCCTCTAACCGTTCGACTAACCGAAGAAGATTACGACACCGTTTCGACATTTTTTTCTCCTCGGCAATTTGTCGTTTAACTTGTCTAATCTTCTTTTTCGCCAATTGGTACGAACGAGGGGGAGAATGGAGGAGCAGGTAAACCACGATTTTCGCGTTTCAGTCTCCATCAAAGGGGTTAGGCGAACTAAACACTGCTTTAAATTGACGAAGATAAGGGCGGAAGAAAGTGGAAGAGGGTAACTAGACGTCATAAACCGGTGAGTAGCCTGATAAACGAGTGAATTTCATCGGGGAAGATTTAATGGGCCGTGGTATCGCGTTCCGCGAAGTGCATTTTAACGAGTCCGGATAATTTAGCGGCGTTGTTTCGAGCGCAACAGCGAGAGGAATTCGGGACAGCTGTACCCTCGGGAAAATATGGTTACAGCCGGCAAAAGTTAGGCGCGCATGCTCGAACATGTTGACGGAAATTGGAAAATGCAATTGGAACGGCGCACCGCGACGTTAATAAACGCGGATCGCGTTAATCGAGCAGAGTCCACGTTATCGTTGGTGAAAAATTTACACAGCGTTTTTTCAACATCGACCCAGCAATCTTCTGCACGACGTTTATTTTCTTTTCACGTCGATAACGTCCGCGTTAAAATTCTAACCGAATGAAAATTTCATCGCCGGTTCAGCTCTATCGAACACGTTCCTTCTGAAATTCTCTTTATATTATTAACGAAAGAGGGATGCCGTTTAAAACGGGATAATAGGTTGGCTGAAGGCGATCGTAAATTGACACGTCGAATGTGCACCATCTGGCAAGCCGCTTCGTAATGACGCAGTGTCATCCCCTAATGAATCGTTAATATCCGCACTGTATAACCTGAAACGTTTTATTGCTACGGCATAAGCAGCTTTAATTCATGCGGTTCGCAGAAAAACCACGGATATCGAATGTCCGAAGATTCGAAATGTTACATAATTCCAACAAAGAATTCGTTGCATCTGTCGCGTAATTTTCATCGTAGATTCACGACTATTACGCTCCTTAAGTAACTCGTTAAGCGGTAAGAGTTGATCACGCATCGTTACCCTAAATGCTCGTTATCCTTTAACTACGCTCGAAACGTTTTAATTTTTCACTCCGTCTCTTTCAAGCTTGTTCGACGGAATTTCGATTTTCCACGCTTCGGAGCACCGGGAGCTTACAATTTTCTGTTCGATCGCTTTAAATATTTCCTACTTAGTTTATCGAAGGAATAAAGAAAAATGATAGCAAGTCTTTCGTTATTCCTGAAGAAAGAAATAAAAGGATCGAAGGTACGTAATCGGATTGCCGAAGGGCCAGGGGTGGGCGTGCAGAGCGTCAACTAGTTCCTCTGGGTAAACTTCCGGTTAACAAGAATTAGCATAGCCCGGCATTAATTTCCATACCCGTAATTGCGTTAGAATGTGGAGCGGTGGAGAAGCAAGGATCTAGGAACTGTTTGAACATATACGACCGCACACACGTGACATTAAGCTTTGTCGGGGCAAGTTGAAATAGACGAAGGGTGCTTTCCGTGGTGGCCGCTGTATGCTACCCGCGTTTCCCGTAAAGTATAAATCACGAAACTAGAGATTTCGCGACACTCTTATTGTGCGCTTCTTAAAGTACCACCTTCGCTTCCTTACGTTGGAAACCAATTCATTGCGACGGATTCTAGCTGCGCTGCTGCAAGCTAACGCTGTAAACCTTTCGTTCACGCTCGAAGTAAGCTCTCGCTAGAGAATCGTCTTGCGAGAAAAGCCCTCCTCGAGAAAACGAATTTTTACAGCTTCCCAAGCGCTGGCTGTATCCTTGAAAATCTATCGGATGGCGAAGCAGCTTTCGGAGTAACTGTTGCAGATTTTCCTCTTGGAAGGCTCGCGATCGGGTGCTCCGATATTTCTAGTTTTCCAAACATACGGGAGGAAATGAAGGGTAGTTCCTGAAAGTCGATCGAATCGAGAACGGGAAAGAGCTCGTGATCGTCGAAAACGCGAAATAATTGCTCGAAGGCAATTAAGGACCATTAAGTGGATCGGGTGGCAATTAATCGAACAGGTCGACTCTTCGATGCGCGCATCCCAGCCATACTTCGGCAAGCTCGTTTCGTTCCTTCATTTTCAACTCGTTCGCTCCTTGTTATTTCGCGGAGACGGATATTTCATTTTCTCTAGAGTAATTGCCTTCTTCCTTCGAATCGATGTATTATACGTGCATTGAAAAGAGCAAGTCTGGGGGATCGTTGAATTTCCGGCACGCGAAGCAAACTTTCCCATATCCCGAATAAACAGGCAGCTTCTCACCTTTCCACTCGCTTACTTTTACATTAGGAAGATTCAGAATTCTCTCAACGAGCAGTATCATTCTTATCATTACCGTCTCGTGACTTGCAGAAATTTAGATCGACAATTGGTACGAATCGTGAGAGAGCATTTCCAAACGAACTTGGGAGAGAAAAGTTAAAATCGTTCCAAGGAACGATTCGAGTGTTGCGTGACGAGGCAGCCATGAAATGTCTATAAGTCTAGGAGCATCTTCGTAGTTACCGAAAGCTATTTATCCTGGAATCATTTAGCGGGAATCTAACGTTGATCCAGGAGTTCCATTCGATTGGGTCAACGAATGATTTCCTCGTGTCGGCCGTTTGCGTTTAATAGAACAGCGAGGAAACGACGGAATGAGATTCTGACTAGATTTCACTCGTTTCCTGATGGCAACAGAGACTGATGCGAATCAACCTTTTGAGTTTTGACATTTTGAGATTTCGCAATTTCGCGTGCTCCAACCATAGGAAATAGGGCGGAAATGTTTTTAAAGCGCGAGACTGAATGAGATTCCCGGCAACGCGAAACTCTTGGAAAGCATGAAAACGCTCGAGAGTTTACGAGTTCGTAGAAAACGAACCGTTACGACCAACGAGATCTGTATACCTCCATAGCTTGTGGCTGTCGAATTTTCCGGGTAAACAGTCTTCGTATACCTAGCAGAGTAGTAATCAGATCGATTATATCAGGATTCTCGTGTAAATTTGAATTGCGAACGCTAGGTCGCGCAAATAGTTGACTCGTTTCACTGACGAATAGTCACAGGGATAAAATCGAAGAATCGTTGAAAGTTCCGTTTCTCTGCTCGTTTACACTTTCTGTGTTAGTGTTTAGACAAAGTAATTCGTTGACGTTAACAAGTTTGCTCTATCGAGCAGCCGGGGAAGACACGCCGAACCGAAACAAGTCGGTTTGGCGAACGTTCCCTCGTCTTTTCAAAAGGAAAGCTTCGGGGTAGAAAAAAAAGACCTGGGTCGTGCTTGTACACGTACCGACTCGAGCAGCGCTTAAAAGAAGCCTCCAGCATTTACCCCGATCTCGTCTTGTTTGAAAGTTTTAGAGTTTTCGTTTGAAAAAGTCAACGTAGAAATGTTGTACGGTATTGTATGGTTGACAACGGGTAGCGAGTGAGAAAATGCTCTTCTGGATGAACTCGTTTCTGAGGGAAACCGCGACACGAATAACCGAGACGCGAGTGGAAAACTAAAAGAAGAAGAGAAAATATTGTCACGAGGGAGTTGCAATCGAGACGGTATGCACGCAGAATGGCAAAGCGTTCGTACACGTATCTATGTACGTAGGTGTACGACTGTCGGTCGAAGCGTGGAAAGAGCCATCGGAATCGATCGCTTCAACTTCGCGAACGCGACGTTTCGTCGATGAAAAGAACTCTTCGCTTCTTCGGCAAAGCGAATCGAATGAATAATAAGCGAACCTGAGGAAAACGAGACGCTGACCACGAGGAACAGTAAGGGAACGTTACATTTATAGCCAGCCAGAACGTTAGAAAAACAAGACAGGGATACCTTATTGTATGTACATTCTGACAGTTCGGCTAATAATTCAATGTTATTTGAATGGAAACGGAAGAATGCTATCGTTGAGGATTGGACAACTAAATCTCTTGAAATATTTTTAGAAGGTACGAGATCTGACATCAAATAATATTATAAATGGAAAAATTCTTACAACTACAATAGTGAAATTACAGATTAATATCTACTTCTTCAGAAAATTGATAAACACGGGGGTATATCGTGGCGGTAATAGCTTCGTAGCTAACAATTTCGATAATAATTTTGAGGCGGAAACGCGGTCGTAAATCAGGTTACGTCGTATAAACGCAAGAAAAGAAGCCGAGGTAAAGTAACTTCGTGCGAAGATCGACTTTGGATAAACTAATAAAGCATCGATGATAACACTGTATTAATCACGCAACCAGAATCGACTTTTGTTCGAACTAGTTGCGCCTTTCCCATTCGATTCTTTTACTTCTCGCTTTACCAGCGAAATCTTTTCCCCTGCTTTCATAGATTTGATTCAACCTTTAAGCGCACAATTTCTCTCGGCTCTTCGTTGTTTTTCTACTCGATCGAACTCCACAAATTTTTGACCAAGGATTTCTTCTTTACGACGTTCAATTACGTAAATGTCCTTCAATCATGGGGTCAATTAACACGGTAATTCTAACATCGTTTGTCCGGGCTATCGGACCTTTGTCCTTTCGACGAGGGGTTCGTTAATATTTCTTTTCAATGACCTTCACATTTACGCAACAATCGTCGAAACGCGTGGAATTGTGCCCTGAATAATATGTATTTTGTAAAGATGTTTCTGATACAACAGAGAAAGGATTTTGCGTTTGATTCGAACGGCCGAATTCCTTTTTCGAGAATAGCTTTGCTTTTTCGGCTAGCTTTTCGAAAAAGAGTCGAAAAGGACCGAGAGGATCTGGATGGAGAAATGATGCGAGAGGAAAACGTCGGCAGAGTGATTACGGTTCAACGTAAAAGAAAATTTTCCACCTACGTACGAATGGTTATTGGCTGGCGAATCTCGAGACGGACTGCTTGAAAATATCTAGACCGGAAACTTCGTAATTCTCGTTGCGGTATTACGGCCAGGTCAGTCGGAAGAATCTTCCCCCGAAACTGCCAGATTTTACCGATGAACTAAAGTACACGCGTTCGTTTTACTCGATAAATTGCTATGGTATTCCTCGATATATCGCGCGTCAGGATGGCTGGTAGGTCAGTGACCGAAAATCTTGAAACGTCGCTTCTTCGATCGACGTGTCGCGAAACTTGTAAAAAAGTGGAAAAAGAAAGAAAGTGCCGTCTAGTGGGAAAAGCACCCTGAAGAATAATTCGAAACGCGATAATGCCGAATGCGCAAGAGTGGTCTGTAATAAAAATGGAAAACTCGGCAGAGGTGGAATTCGAGTAAAAGCTGATATTCGATGGGGCGGAGAACGGTGACACAGTACACTGGTCGAATATTTATGGAAATCGGGATAACGAAGGATGTAGCTCGATAGTTGGGCAGCCACGGTGAACGCCAGGTCGGCGACTGCGACTCGTTCCTTGAATTAACGAGCGAAAAGCTAGCTACAGCCTTTCAATCAAACGTTTTATCGTGTCATTTTCGCGGCAAATCAGTTGTTTCGCGACAAGCTCTGCTTAATCGGATCGATTTCGTAGCGGAAAATTTTAATTTTCTTTATCGCTACCGAGTCTGATAAACGATGAGATAACAAGGATACTCACAATACGTGTCAGTGGTGAGCCGATCGATGGTGTCTTGCTTCAACTTGCTGTTCTTCTTGCCCATATTTCTCGCGAATTTACCTTTTCCTTCGTTATGATTCGATTTCGTCTATCGTTCGCGTTCGATCGCGCCTTATCTTTGTTTTTCGAGCAATCTCACCGTCCGCTTCGCATTTTTCGCGTTCCTGTAGATTCAATAACCACCATTAACCGAACTTGTTTCAATCGAGTAGCACGCGCCAACTTCGCTCCTCGTACGAGAACCGGCAAAACCGACTTTCCTCCAAGGTTAGCTCGGATTTCTTTCGAGTCGGTTCTTACTTTAAAACTTCTTCTCGTTGTCCAACGATCGAGCCTTTGAAAGTGGTTCTACCGAAAATGTATCGAATTTGTTCACGGTACGTGGACCGTGAATAAAACTCTGTCTCGTTTTGGAAGCCTCCTTGGTACCTCGAATTCGTCTGGAGATCGTGCGCATCACTTCGATTCCGCTAGCTGTCTGGAAAAGTTGCTTTCGAACCCCGTTCTTGACTCGACTCGATTCGATTCGATTCGATTCGATTCGATTCGATTTGCCACTTCGAAGCGATTCACAGTCAAAACCTTCAAGTTTTTTCACATTTTCCACGATGAACATACGCCATTGAATTTAATCTTTTCAACAGATTTCTGATTCACGCTCCACGATTCTTTCGAAAAGAGAAAAACAAAGGACAACGAAAGAGACGCATCCTTTGTTTCGCGCTACGGCGGACCAGTTGAATGGTTTCCCAGTTTCCCAACGAGAACGTTTCAGCGAGCGTGGCCGTTATTAAATGCGCAGATAAAAGGGTTCGAGTTTGAACCGTAATTCGGAAAATCGATGAAAGATACTATGGATAGTCGGGACGAGCTATTGTACCTAGAGAAATATCTACGGTGTCTCCTTTTCACAGACAGCATTACGAGCACTTGTCATTCGACTTGTTAAACGAATTTCCACGATTGCCGTAGCTGATTACATTTTGTCGTTCCAACGAGAGCCTCTGCGTCTACTTTCAAAGCCTTTACACCGGCACTTCCCGTTTCCACGTTTCTCTATGAAACCTTTCAACGTCCTTCATGGAACAACGATATTAAAAGCGCGACGCTGACAGCGACATATCTATCCTTAACACTGAAGAAACTGGCAACAGCAGCAACAGCGATTCAATCGCGTTACATTGGCGGCTGCTGGTAAATGCGTAACGTGTAAAAGACGAAGCAAAAGGATTGCAAGGTATATATGGGAAGGATATCTGAACTGGGTCGAGGAGAAGCACCGCGAAGAATTTCATTAAACCTACCAATGGATTGCCTACCTCTGTTCCGCGTAAATAGATAGTAAATCCCAAAAGTCCGATGGTTGAACGAGTCTATACTTTGATCGGTAGAGCCGATACGAAGAGAAAAATAAGAAAACGTTCGTCGTTAATAAATGTTTTGCGGTGGGATAAGTTCGCAAACGATGGAATTAAAAACGGAAGGCAATCGTTTCGAAGTTGAGAGCGATCGACGATTAAAGTAGTTCGGGAAAAGTCTTCGAGAGGCAATTTAAAAAATATACCTTAACTCGTAATTCGATGAACCTTTTCCAAGAATAACTTCTCTGTCCCTTGTTCCTTCCACCTTTCCTATTATACGTATATACGTGTAGGTTTATGAGAACGTTCGCATCCAAAAATTTGATTTTAATTGGAGAGTCGTCGAATCGTTATCGGCGAGTTATCAACGAGCACTTCGAAAATCCTAACGATGCCACGTAACGATTCCTATTCGCTTCCGACTGTTATTACATTAATTTCTCTCTGCGAATAATTGCTTCGTTACTCGTTGCATTATTCACGAACCTTTCCTCGAAGTCTCACAGAGGGTGTCACGAGGTAAACTACAACTTGCCAACGATTTACATCGTCCAACTAACCTTCGATCCGCGTTAAATTATTTACTGTTTGAATCGCTTTTAAATTTATGTCAAAATGGATCGTTAAAAGAGGAGTATTTTGCATCGTTATACGATACGAATGTTTCGAAGATTAGCAACGCAACGATTAATTATCTCGCTGGGCGGATTCGAATGAAGGAAATGGATTTGAAGGTGCGAACGAAACCCTGTCTACACCTTTATCGAGTTCCACCAGTACGTAGTTGGGGTTGAAATTATTTACCTCCCCAAGGCCCGACGGTACCCTTGACCTCCGCTCGCTACGATGAACTCCTGGAATTCTCTTCTTTTTCCTGACACACCGATCGTCATACGATCAAGATCGACGACAGTCCAATCTACGGCGAATAACCGATATGAACCGATTCGATCGAGACGAACGTTTTACGGGAAATTACACGGGGATAACTGTGCAGCGCGGCGCAGTTGGAGGAAAAACAAACGTTGCTCGTAATTATTTCCAAAGTTTGCGAGAGGGCTTTCGATCGAGCCAGCACGGGAAATTCCATTATCGAGCAATAGTTTAATGCCGTAGTATAGCCAGGTTGTTCGTAAAAGTTTGTCGAACGCTCGGTCAGTTCCCATAGTTGGTCATAAAATTTCAGGAAAAAATATTGTCCGCTCGGTAGCGCGGTACTTTGGTTCCCGGACAAAAGGATCTTTCAAAAAATTCCATTTGTCGGATGCAAGCGGTTAAATTCGAGATCGTCTCCGCCGAGGATCGTAAAATAAAGGAAGGGGCGTTTGTTGGACGAAAATTTTGTAGATTTATACGAACGGAAAGAATTTGCTTGCTCGTTTGGTTGCGTTAAACGAGGGGTCAGAGTGTTCGATGATGGGGAAAATATGCCATAGCTTGAATGTCCAACAATTCGAGTGGCAAGGAACGAATAGATTCTAGGTAAACAATTACACATTGTCCGGTACCGCGATCCGAGCGTTATTGGATTACTGACCATTCCACTCTATTGGATGATATTCCCAGAAGTAATCGAAGCTAGTTGAGCGTTCTTCGATATCGCATCGTTTCGATACGTCAACGATGCTAATTCAAATTTATGCATACCTAAATATTGACTCGCGATTTAATCGTATGACAAGCAGACGATTCTTTTGAAGAGAACTATTATCGCTTTCAACAACTTCATCTCGGCTTTATCCTAGTATTTTCCAACAAAATCTAAAAGAAGCTAGCCTAGCGGACGATCAAAGCGAGTGCTCGACGAGGGTGCTCGACGAAGAATCTCTTGGTTGACGGAACGAAGAAAAGGGACTAATTGTCTGAAAACACATTGACGCGTTTCGTAAAAGATATTTAAGATTGTGCTTTTGTGGTGAACACGACGCGGCACGGCACGGCACGGCGTGGCACGACGTGGTGGTTAAAGACAAAAGCAACGAACGGTGATTCGATGAACGAAGCACAGTCATCACGTGTAACTATTGCTATCGCGACGCAACAAATAATCTCCTGATGACTCTTGTACGTTTTGTGAAACGTTATGAAAAATGGCTTAACGTTGCACCAGTTGTGTTTCGAGTGTCGAAAAGCGAGTTGCACCGCGCACCATCGGACACTGCAGCGGAAGGGAGCGGTGAAGAATTTCGAGTAGATGCGTGGCTGCTAAGTAGGATAACGCAGATGACACATCTGTACACGGAACGAATCTTCCTCGTGTCTGTTCATCAACGTACTTATATTGGTATACGAAACGGCGCGACTCCTATAAAATCGAGAATCAAGAATCGAGAGATACAAATCTCAATGTTTCAACGTTTCGTCCATTTCGGAGTGATTCTGCAAAATATGCTAAATTTACTCTCCGATCACCTGAATTTCCTTGAAACTGGAATCGAGTAAGAAGAAGGAGAAGAAAGAGAAGAAAGAGTTCGCCGGAGTCGTTGCAGAGATTTTGATCGTCGCACCACTGGGTCGGTTCCATTCCGTGAATCTGTTCTCGTGTAAGCAGATCGAGAGATCGATCGAGATCGCATCGGATCGATTCGGTCGATCGTGTTTCGACTTTTAGCACGAGGATTCACCTGGCAATTCGATCGATTAGGCTGACGAATGGTAGAAAGATTCGACGAACGCTTCGAAGTAGCAGTTTTCATTCATGAATTTCCTTACCGCTGTTGAGAAACGATCGCTAGGAAAACGCGAACCAGTGACGTCATAGCGTCGCGGCGCCTGGCGTCAGACTGGCTCGCCGATGGTGTTACGTGCCAGTGCGTTGCTACTGATTCGCGCAAGCGCCAGCCGCCGCTCTGACCGGAGAATTCTCGATCGTTCCCTCTTTCTTTCCTTCCGAATCCCTCTTTTCTCCCTCCTTCTCGCTCTCTACCACTCGCTTCCCTCAACCCTCATCCCTCATTTCTCTCTGTCCTTGCCCCTTTTCCTCTTCCACCACGCTTACACCGAGCTTCCTCTCTTCCTATCCTAGATACCAGCCTGTTCTCTGCTTTCGCTCCTCTATTCCCCATACCTGATCACCATATCTCTCCCTTTATCCACCTCTCTTCTTTTCTCCCTTATCCTCTCCTCTTCCGCACGCTATCATCCCTTCCTTCAAACACTTCTCGTTTTTTACCTCTCTATTCGCTTTAACGCCTCTTCTTTCGAACCATTACAGATCCTTTTGATTCCTTGCCGCAAGTAAACTTTTTGTTTGTAATTCTGTCGAGTTGGTTCGTGATATCTGAATTTAGCCCGTTCATCGGCACGGTAAAAAATAGCCGCGCGCCATGATCCTCGAGCGTTGAGTAGTAGAACGCGTTATAGTGGCGCCAGATTTCAGAAACGGATCCGTACCACTTCCGTTGCTTCTCCATCTTTTTCCCCGTGTTTACTTATTCGCGCAAAGTCACGTTTATCCGAATAATAAATATAACCGTTTATCTTCTAACCCGGCTGTCCCATTTTTCTCCCTGCAAGCACGAACAGACATATGTACATATCCATATTTTTGTTGAAGAGAACGGCATGGCGCGTCGCGTTGCGTCTGTGAAATTACCAATTCTGGTAACGAGAAAAAATATGTATCTCGAATCGACGGAGGCAATCGACGCGAGAAATATTCCTTGTCGCGATAAAAAATTGTCTCGCACGCGACTAAACTTTTCATCGTCGAATGTTTTTGCCGTTGCCGTTTCTTTCCCCTTAAAATTGACTGAACATTTTTAACTTTCTCATTCAGGTACGATTTATTTTGCCAATATTTCGAAAGCTGGCAATGTCGTGAAACGATTTCGAAACATTCGCATCGGCCGGACACGAGCTTTTCATTTTTTTACTCGCCACTCACGCGGTCATTAATATTTATAGTCACGCGTTATAACGCTTCCATGCGACTTTTTAACCTTTGATCGATCAACGATCGAAGCTTTTCACTGCTCTCACCCTTCGTGTTCACCCGACTAACGCGTCAACTGCCACAGTGAAAACGACCATACGTGGTACGGTAGAATTTATAGTTTGCTTTTTGTTTTCAATTTAAGAGCATCATCGTCGCTCTAAAAACACCCTGTGTGCAGTGTATAGAGCGACATCGAACGAATGATTTGTTCGTCTTGTATGGTGCCTGAAAAGCCAACTTCGCCTTTTCTACTCAATGGATTTTCGCTGTTCGAACTTGCCATTCTAATGAGAGTATATTTGTTCGTGTCGAAGTGCGACACGCTATGGAAATTAATCGTCGCACAATTGAAATAAAAATATTCATGTTTTTCTTAATATCTACAAATTCCCTTTCATTTGATTCGTTTACCTAGCGATAACATTTGACGGAATAAAAAGGAAAGTAAAGCATGCGTTGCAAAAAGGTGTCGAATTTTTTCAATCGTAAGAAAGGCGTTCTGATCGATAGACTCAAGAGGAACGGATAGAATCGGCTCCATGGTGACTCCATGAATTAAAGAACAGAGCTTACTCGACGCGGCGCGACGGTGCGTTTCAACGCGAAAATCACCAACGAGGTTTCAATAGAACCAAAACGTCCTTCTATTCCTTTTCGTTCTTACTTACCCTCGATGAAATCGTGTAAGTCGTAAGCGTTCTCGATGACTATGCCTGTTATTTACCATATATGTATATATAGCTTGCTCCAACGATAGTCGTTAATTGCATGCTGTCTCGTCGTTCGTTTTACCCTATCATCTATCATTCTAGATATTTTTCCATAAAACAGACTGATTCATGCGCGTTTTCATGTACTAAATTTATTTATTTATACGGATACGAACGCTTCGAGCACATTTAAACACGTTACCAAATAACAACTATTGTTTGCATTAATCTGTTTAAATTCATTTTATCGAAATTTCATTTAAGTTTGTATTTAAAAGCGTCTCGGTTCGTTCTCCCGCAACACGATTAATTTTACCTGTCGTGGCAAGGAGCTAGGGATTCTGCAAATGCCAGGAATTAAAGTGAATTTTAGCGAAGCAGGCGCAAACCGTTGGATTCAACTGCCGCTTTTTACAGCAGAGAGTAGCTTCGAAAAGTACTTAGCGCCGAATAAACGCGCGTTAAAGTCAGCAACCTAACAGTGGATTCAATAGAATACTTCTTACTTCTCTGCGCGAGGAAAAGCTTGTCAACGATCGAAGTTAACGTTCGATAAGTTGCTCGCGGTGATGACGAGGACTCTAACAGACGCTAAACTACCTGACCGCAAAATATTCGTTAACCTTTAACGGCGAACCGCCGACGAACCACCGATGAACCGGATAACGCAATTCTTGACTGGCAATTGAGTTCGTTATCGAACAAATTACCAACAAAGAAACACACGCGCGTAGATTCTGAAAGAAAGCATCTCTGTCCGGGAATTCGTATTTGGGGTACGACGGTTTCGTTATCATCGATGAACGTCAAAATGACTTTGTTTGAGTCGTATTCAGGGACACGACTGGCAAGCAATTTGCGCGCATACGGAACATCGCTAATACTAAATATGTACTCACTTGTTCACGCTTCGATGTTTTGCAAACGTTTCGACGAATTCCAACTAGCGTTTCTTGCGTAAATAAATCATTAGAACGTTGCACAGCGGTTACATGATTTTTAAACGTTGGCTTCGTACGCGAATTGGTGGAAAAAGAATATATTTCAATTTGGAAAGACTGTTCGTTTCTGTATTGCCTGGAGAAAGGCTGGAGAACGACTGAATGTACGGTCACGCTTCGACGCGGCTTCGCTACTCGCTGATAATTCGAATGTTTATATTTACAAAGGGTATATTTCATTTTCGAGCGCCGGTTTCGCCGGTTTTGCCGATAGCCTAGCGGCCTCGGATAAACTTCATCTATCTATGCACGCACTGACCTTCGCAAACTCGGAAGCCTACTCCTGATAAGTAAAAATTAAACGATTTATCGGATATTCCCGATAACGTCCAAGCAAAAGTGTTGATCGTTAGTAAGAAACGTTTAGCAGAAAGAGAAAATTAGGCAATATCTGATATGCAGTTAGTAGCAGACTGCAGGGGTGGGAAACGTTCATTCAGTTCCGTTGAGCTTTCCTCGCGAGCTACGGCGAAGCCACCCTGTATCGACCCAGCAACGCCCACCCAAACAGCAACCCCCACCAGGCTAACCATCTCTACCCTTCACCATAGCTACCTTACTCTCCAAAAATTTTCAGCGGATGCGATGCATCGCGTTGCTCCTTTTCTTCTTTCCTTCTTTCCTTCAACCACTTGAAGAAAATTCGTTGTAATATGTACCTACAGCCTACGTAATCAAATCGTGACTAGTAAAGCAAAGTGGAAAGGCAATATTCGCACTGATGAAAAATGAAACGATCACTCGAATCGGAGTAGGAATCGATACCGTCTATGTTGAAAAATTAAAAGGTTCGTTCAATATTCCGAGAGAATTTCACAAATACCTTTTATTAAATCCGTTTTCTTGACGATGATTACTCTTATCGTCTAGTGATTCCTTGCACACCGTGCGTTCGATCGTTTTTACGAAACCAAAACGATTGCAAGTTTGCGCGCTGCCGTTACCAGTTTGTTTATAGGTACTTTATACGTTTTATGTGGGTAGTAAGGAGGCAGTGTTCTTGAGAAATTGTTTCCTTTTATGTACAGAGTATTTCGTAACGCGTTGGACCCGCTTGAACGATAAATGAAGATTACGAAGGTGGTGAACGAACTAAACATTCGAATGCACGATCTTTTGTTTATCCGCGAAGGGGGTACCGCGTGTTATGCAACAGCCTGTATATTTACAACGTCGAAGAGCAACACGCTGAAAATCACGTACAATGCTCGTTGAATAGAACGTTTCCGTGGAAGGTACGTTTGCCCGATATCGCGAGGACCATACGCCAAATATTGTCGGCCGCTCGTTCGATACATAAAACGCGCCAATATTTGCCAAGATATCGTAACCTTGCGTCTAGCCTTCTCTCCGATATCGCGTTACGATAAAACGTGTCCGCAGGAAGTACGCAAATTTATGGCGTAAACTAGCCTAACTGACCGTACGCCAAATAAGTCCATGATGCTCAAGATCCATGACAAGCCGAGCAAATTACTTTTACTGTAATTTTTGAAAGTATAAAAAACATAGATAAAATCAGTCTTGCCACTCTCTTAGACCGAAGAGGATTCCGCACCTGTTACGAAATTACTAGGAAATTGTACAAATTACTTTTCTTTTCGAATAGGGCGGGAAAAAATGCTTGCATAAAGCTAAACGCTGGCACGCGTCAAATGTCCAGGAGTCGCAACGGTGGTTGTCGGTGGTGTGGTGGTGGTTGTAGTAGTGATAGTTGCTCTGGGAAGTGGCGAACGTTTCATCGGAAGACCTCTTCCTCCCTCGCTACTTTTCCCCCATGGCCATTGCAACGTACGAATCAAGGTGTTTCGAAAATCTTCCGAGAACAAACAATAGATGTAGAAGGTGATTGAGTAATTGGTTACCTCGAGCAAATTCGCTATGGCACGGAACACCTGAAATGGAAAGTTCGATTGAACGAATCTAAGGAGAAACGAAGGTAAATCGAATAACTGACCTGATAAGCGTAATTATTCAAATTACTTTCCCTCAAGGTGACGTTGAGAATTACCATAGGACTGACGCAAACGAGGAACAGGATGCTGGTACTTCCTAAAAGCAGGACCAGCCTTCGTTCCTCCGCGAATGTTCTTGGATCTTCGTCGTTGCTCACGGTTCTGGCTAACGTCATTCGTCTACGACGCTCGCAGGATTTTCTATAGACCACCATGATACGGAGATTAAAGCCAGCCAGGAGAATCGTTGGCGCCACTTTGAAAACCATCTCCAACATCACTTTGTACACCTACAGATAAACGTTCGCAAAGAAATGACAAGTTTCCTTTTCTCAACATTCCTTTTGCGTAATCGTGTCGATAATATAATACTTGATAAAACATCGAGTCGAGGTACGATTGATTCTCCCTCTTCTGATAAACAACGTAACCACCGGGTTCGAGGAGACAGGTCGTAATTTGTCCTCGGAACGCACTCGGCAGATAAATAATAAACGTTGCCAAGGGGATGAGAGCGACGGTTAAATGCGGAGGACCGCAGAGTGGACGGGTGTGCTGACCAGGCCGGCAAACGCTAACGTAACGTTCCACCGTTAATGCTAGCAACATCATCACTCCGACTCCTACAAAATATCATCGACTCATTAAATTCATTAATTATCTGCTACCACGTATGCATCCTCTGACTTGACTCTATTTCTCCGTTTTAGACAGATCCTCCCACGATCGCTTCCCTCTTTCTCTCGCTCCTCTTTTCAACGCTACTCTCGCGTTCGTTTACAATAGAATAAAACGAAGAAAACGATGAAAACAGTCTAAAGGGAAACCGAACTGAATAGAAAGAAAGAGAATAAAAGGACGAAAATACGAGTGTCATACCTAAACAACCGTTTCCGAGAAACAGCTCGAGATGAGCATGATAAAAGGCTTGAGGCCAATTATTCCATTGGCCTGTTTCCTGATGAATAAGAACCCTCAGCGCAAAAGGGATGCAGAAAGAAATCGCGAGAAGCGCTGCTGCTGAGTAACCTGTAACACAAGAGGATAATAATGTTAGTTCGTTTTTACCAAGCAAAAGAAAACGAATGATGTATCGCGCGACTCGCTTAACCTGCTATCATTTACCTTTCTACATTTTTTCTCGAACGCGATAACAGTCTCGAAAAAACTTTGCTAATTATCCATCGTTGGTTACACCTAAGAATGTAATACATTCATTATTCATCAAGCTCTTTTTTTTTATTGATCCTTTACCTCGAAAGGATCCATCGATCCTTTAGCCCCAGTGTAGTTTCTGAATTGTAGGGTACACAGGAAAACAATTGACAGAAAATTGATTGATTTGTCTTATAACTTCGTCTATGATTATATTACAGACTCGTGTACAATTATATAAGTAAGTATATACTTTTTAAATAAATCAGATATTCTCCACTCAAGATAAGTTTTCAACCGTGGATAAGAAAGCTACCTCCCTTGTCGATACCAAGGTATCTATCTTATTCGTGATAGGTAATCGATGATAAATACGGTTATGCGACGGTAGATAAAAAGACAACTGCTGATAGAAGAAACAGTCAAAGATAACTAGATAGAATTGCGGTAAAAGTTTGAATCCACTTCCGATCATCTGGTCAAATCAAATAATAAACCGGAGGGAAAAAGAAAGAAACGTATGATAGGTACAGTTGAAGAAAACGATAACAAAAACAATAGAGATACAGAGATCCGAATTGGATGATGGTAGAAAGAGGTGAAGGAGGCGTAGAAAGCGCTGGAAAGGAGGTAGTTTAAAAATTGGTGATGCGCGTGACGCTCGCGATACGTGTCCGCTTCTAGAACGAGTTAATTCGCGCGTGTTCTCTCGACGCGTACCCCGAGGGAAATAAAGGCTGAAGGTTCGCGTCGTCTTGCATACCATCGAGGAATCTTCGGCATTCGGCAAAGTCTTGCTTCGCCGAATAACGATGCCGACAGTCGAAAAGGCGGCAAACGAGAAGCATCTGTCTCTTCTCGTGGATCTCGAAGGCACCAATTTTCCTAGTTTTTCATCGAGAAAAATTAACCGTCGTGTGATTTCACATATTTGCATGGGAGTCTCGTTACGCACTCCTCTTTCCGCCTTCCACTTATCCATTTTATCTCCGGCTGAATGTCGCCTCTAGCGAAATGACTTTCGCCTTCAACATTTCACCTACATCGACACAAAGTTCTTCTTGTTCCAACTAGAAAGCTTTCGTTTAGAAAGCGGATTAACCCTTCGGTTATGGTAAAATTGAACGCCTAGTTATTCGTATATAGTTTTGAAACGACGTGTTTGAGCGATATCGAAAAAGATTAGGAAGCCCCATCGGAAGGGAAAAGAAGAAGAGGAAGAGAAAGAAAGAAAAACGTTCGTTTGAAGGTGCCTCGTTATCTTAAGATACCGAGGACGAAGCTTAAGATCGGGGCCACTGAATCTACTTAGCCGCCAAGCGAAACGCAACGTCAACCCCTCGTTCACCCTCCTATCCCTCTCGACGCCACGCGTCGCCTTCTGGCTCCCGCTCCTTTTCCTTCTCGGTGTGATGCAAATTTTGCTTGATGCACTAAATGAACATCCGTTGTATCTGGTTAAAGGTGTCCATACCGTTTCGCTAATCTTTGTCATGTCTTTTTCCTCTTCCTCTCCGGTACGCAGGGAAAACGTCGATACATCGCGTCGCGGTTCCGACGGCACCTTCGATGCGCGATGACAACTTGCATCGCGGACACGGAAAATTATTCGTTTCGCGAACGTCGACGAAGCCGGTGACAAAGTGTCAGCGATAGATGGGCGCAAAACATGCGACCTACATTCTGAAATACTCGCAACGGTCAGTGATAGCTGAAAAATCGTAGGTTGAATTTATCGGAAATTCGGTACGGCAAACTGGAATTCCATGAAACTTCAACTATTTCGCGATGAAACTGTTTTCAGTCGTTTAAGAAAGTTATCCAGAAACGTCAGCCAGTTATCTAAACCGAGCTAAGCTCGAAGAAGCTGTCCAGCTAGCGTAATTCATCGCTAAGCTAGCTCAAACTGTCACGACGTCCGGCCCGAGTGGACGGACAATATTTTTGCAAGAAAAATAAATTCTCTAAGTTCCTGAATTTCCTTGATTTCTCGAATCGCTATAAACAATTCAGTTGTTGCGACGAACGAACAAAGGAAGGCTAATTACGTAACCTTCCGTAAGGATTAAGAAGGAGTTGACGGTAGTTTAGGGGCGGCAGTTAATGCGTCGGCAAGCAGAGAGCTGCGAACGTGCTCGTTAATATTCATAAAGTTTGAAGCGTAGCAGACGGAGATGTTAACGTTACAAGGAAAATATCTGCTCGCTTTCGAGAGCAGAAGGAACTCGCGGGAAGTGACCGACGAACGGATAGCAAGTAGGAAGCGGGAAAAGTTTGTCGACGGAACGAACGGCTTTCGAGTCCGCTCGATTTTCCGGAAGAACGTAATGGGATTCCGGGTGGAAAAGGTTCGCAAAGGTGGAGAAGAAGCGCGGTACTAGCTCCTTGAACGCTTCGTTTCAACGGGATTAGAAGGTTACCGCGATTCTAGTTAACGCAATCATCTCCCATTGCTCTCGAAACGTTTTTATCCGTGTAAATGGAACGTTCGCATTATTTCGTACAGCGGTAAACTCGTTATCCAGTTTGGTTCAAATAGACGACAAACCTTTAGCCTGAATCAAATATAAAATTCCACGTTTCCGAGTTGCCGATAGTTCGATTTGAATAAAAAGACCGTGTGTTCGATTTTCGTTCGACCCGATAGAGGCTCTCGTTACACCACCGCTGAATTCTATTGCGTTGACAATCGCGTTTTCTTTGTCGAATACCCTCGTGCCTTGATCTACCTTTCCGAGATACAGCTGTTCCCAGTGAAACCAGTGTAAAGTGGAAAAAGAGTTCATTTGGCTGGCTATCCTTTTTTACTGATCGATTCGCCAAAATGCGATTAACCGGAATTTCTACAAAAGCCAGAAAATTCGGTAGAAAATTTGAAAGATTTGAGAAGTAAAGGAAAGACAGAGTGAAAGTTGGAACGATTGGCTTAAACGTAATGTAAATTCGCGAAGCGACCGCGGCCGTTTGCGGAGGAAATTCAGCAGAACTAGATAAAGATTTGTCGAAGCTACGACGGCACGTATCTTTCTACACGCAAATATGCCGTAGCTACGTATACGGTTCTGTTTTACATATTTATACGTGACGTTGGACCGTAGCTTTCGCCGTTTCCGAGCACGTCTCAAATTGCATTTCCTTACGCACAAATTCTTCCGCCCCAATACCCCAGGATTCGCAATATTTCCACGTTCAAAGGCACGTCCTTTTAGTTCGACCTCATCCTGGTCCTCAGCCTCAGCCTCACCCTACCTGCCCGCTCTACATCGTGCATATCGATAGACTTCCGAGGCTCCAACGAGCCTCTACCATCTATCCGATCGCCTTTTCCTTCTCATCTGCTCTTCGATCTCCCTACGAACATTAGTAGGTGTTCAAAAAAAAAAGAAAAAAAAAAAGAAATCGAATTCGCGGAGAAAGAAAGGGTTGGCGGGCGGTGGGAATGATAAAGCAATCCTTTTTTCGAAACGGAAGTGAAATGGATGAGCGAAACGCAGAATCTTATTCTCTCGTTTTCCTTTGGGAAAACACGCCAGATTTCAGCGCCTCGAGAAAAACGAAATGAAACGGAAATTTCGTGAGATTTTTCGCATCCGGAAGTAACGTACAGACAGGATCGCTTCCTGCGGATATCGATGTCCTATCCAATTGGTCGACGTCTCCCGCTGATTTACTTGATATCCGTTCCTTCTCTCGGCATCGTACTGCCAGTAAACCGCGACGAACATCTTTTCAGGAGAAACGTTGAATAATTCTGCACCGTGCCGTAAATAATTTCACGTGGGAGAAAAAGAAAATTCGTTTAAATTATTTCGCGATGCAACAAGCGCACGAATAAGTAAACGCCTATCGAGAAACTGGAGAAAATCGAGGACCAACCAGACAGACGAATCGAAAGACACTCTTGGTCGTATAACGAACTAGACATTGTTCGAAACAAAGCGACAGAAACGGGGAAAATACCGCAATCGAATTGTCGAGTAATTTCCTCCTAATGTATCGTCCTCGTCTAACCGGAAACGAGCGTGGACTCGTAGGGTACCAGCACTGAATGCTCCACCCCGAGCCCATCACAAGTCTGACCGAGTATGTGTATATCTTCTGATCGTTCCTCTCTTGAATCGACAAAAATAATATTTTAAAGAAAACAAAAGAACAACTGAAAGAAAACTTCGAGGAACAGTTGTTAGAAGACGTCGACGATAGACGTGGTCGAAACTTTGAGGTCGGCGAACAAAGAAAAGGGCTTACCTCTCATGTAGATGTAAGCGGTTCCTCGCATGTTGCGTCGGGTAAGGACAACCAAGTTGAAAATATTCCCGACAATTCCCAAGCAACAGATAGCAGGCAGGATAATGCCGTAGCTGATTCGTTTGAGAGACGGTGTTCGAGGATCCTCCAGATCTTCCGGCCGAAAGCACAATTCTGTCTTTGTTGCGTTCACTGCGTCGAACATCTTGTCTTTTGCCTCACCCTCTCCCCTCTCCCTCTATTATTTTCTTTCTTTCACGCATCTACATCTTTTCCAGTTACGATTGAAATTGTTCGTTACGTGTTGCATCATGTAAAGTCAACGATCAATTACCGGTCGTTTCGAACGGTCCACTCGCTCCTTCACTCTCATCGAATACTTGCAGCGATGTTTAATCTGTTTTCGATGGAACGATCGAGCTTGATTACAAGAAAAGCCGAGAAAAACGATGCAACAAGTGCAACGCTCGTTTCGCGTTCATTCCAGCTGTTTGAACTTCCGAAAAATCCTGACCAGGTGACGACCGCTTGTCCTCGGGGATGTTTCTAGGTTCGGGAAGTGTTTCTCGTTTCTATTTCACCGAGGAATCTGAACGTGCTCTTCTGGATAATTTGTACGCTGCCATTTTGTAAGCTGACCAGTCGATCCTCGAGCGTTTACCTACGGACAAAACAGCTTTCTTATCCTCGTTGTGTTTTCGTTCGTAAGACTTACTTGCTGCTTCCTCCTGCCTCATTTCCCTCAATTTATCTTACAGTTTATCGAGATTCGATATTGAATCGAAAACGGATGAGTGTCGACCGAACGAGACTTTCCGTGCTGCAGCAAAAACATGATCGCGTGAACAGAAAGCTAAGAGGGATATGTAGGGGAAAAAGAATAAAAAGAAGAAGAAAAAGGCGGCGAATGTCGGTTGGAACAGTGAATATAATTCACGTTTCGCCGTAATAACAAAGTTTTCCGTAAGAAAAACCGCGACGAATACGTATCCAGGTTCGAGGATGTAGATTACGACGCAACTTGAGGGCAGAATGAGAAAGCAGTTTAGAAGCGGCTGCGGTTGCGGACAAGGTTGAGGCGGTGCCAATACCGACTTACCATTTTTCCATCCGCTTTTCCTTCGAGGAGAACTCTCTGCTTTCAACTTATTTTTACTCTTTATTAATGTAACATGTAGAGGTGTGCAAGTACTCGTAATTTACAAGCCGAGCTGAACTCGCTTCGATTGTTCGAACCGAGTCGAGCGCTTGTTTTTGCCGAATTACTCAAAATCGGCAAACTGTTTGAAACAAAAGCGAGTTACTCGAAACAATTGAACTACTTGAATATTCGAGACGTCGTAAAACTTCGATTTACTTGAAGATGAATTTTCAGCTCGAATATTCGAGTAGTTCGATTTTTTCGAGCAGCTCGCTTTTGTTTCAAGCAGTTCGTCGATTTCGAGTAGCTCGGCAAATTCAAACTCTCGACACGGCTCATTTATAGACTCAAAATTCGAGTACTCGAATAAATCGAGTACTCGCACGCCTCTAGTAACATGTTTAAGATTGCAGTTGGATTAACCTTGCTTTCGTCGCTGAAAATTTATCCTGCTTCCCTTGGGAGGTTCATTTTTTGTTTCTTTAATAATCTGACAAATTCCAAATGCCAGTCTTTTTTACATTCTTCCGATATACGGCTTGATCGCTCGATTTAGCGTTGCCTGCATAATTTTATACGAGAAAGAAAGGTGAAACGAAGGGAGGAAAGGCGGTAAGCTGGCGATAATAGCGATATTATGCGCGACGAAAGAATAAAACTGGTAGCGAAATCAGTGCGAAAGGGGAATAATTTTCCGTATGAATCGGAGACGATGAGTCGTGACATCGTATCCTCGCGATACTCGGACATTTATCTACTTTGGAAAGATGGTGAGCGGTCGGTAGGGCTCTGGAGGATCGTAAATGGAACGGTAAAGAGCTCTTCCTTGTCTGGACGAGGGGTGTTTGGCTTTGGACTCGTTCGGGACATCTTAGTCGAACAAAGAGTCTCCCTCGTCGGAATTTCGAAATCAAAAGAGGATAAAAGAAAGAAGAAAGAAAAAAAGTAGCAGGGCTGTTTCGATGATTTTCGATGAAGAATTAGGTAGCCGCGAGCTCGAACGCATCGAGACGAGGCTCGAAGCCAGAAAACTTGTCAAGCAAAGTTTCCGCTTTCTGTAGCCACGTGTGCGATTTCTACGAGTTTTCTCGCGAATTTCAAATACCGTTTCCGCGTTTAGTCGACAGCTGCGATTTAATATCGACGCGAGAATGGAAAAAAAATGGAAATTTTCGGAAGAAGTTGTCGAGAAGCGGGGGCGTGATTGTTTCTTGGACGTTTCGTGAACGATGAAAAATTTCTTCGAGGTACGATGTTGCGGTTCACCGCGCTCGATACACCGACACCATCCAAGGATCCTCTCATTTTTATCGCTCTGTAAATTGCATAGCTCTTTGCCACGTTCGAACGAGTCATCGAGCTGCTTCGGAGAAGTTTCGCGAGATTCGAAATCGAAAGAAATGACTGCTACCTTCCCGAGAACATATCCGAGAAGAAATAAAGCGAACGCTTTATACTTTATATCGTCCCCGTTGAAACGGAAGCAACGAATTTTTGTCTTTTCTATATATGAGCTTTCTACGCGTTGCTACGTTTACTTTCGACTTTTGGTTCGAATAAGAAGCACCGTTTTCGACGTTTATAGCTGCGCTTTAAGCGAATAACTTTAAACGAATCTATCGTTTCGGAAAGCGTACACTTTGGTATGTAGGACACGCGACACACTGGACATTCAACGAATCACTGGTCACACAGGAATATGTACTTGAAAAGTTAATGCCGCGTGAAATGTTGAAATGTTCGCGAAACGCTTGTGTATCCAACGAAATCAGGATCAGGTTTATTCGAAAATAAATGCACTGGTTGTTTACGCTGGTTGCTCTCGCGAAACTACCATAAGTTCGCATAAGGGTTAATCCGAAGAACCAGGGATAAAATGGAAGGAGAAGAAGGGTGGGTCGTAAATTCGAAAGAAAATTGGAAAGATTTGTCAGGGATTAGCGCGGTGCGCGCGAATCGAAACGAGTCGAAAGGCATCGTTTACTCGAAAGCTATGTAATACATTATTTATTATATAGGTTTATTTTGAAATCCGTTTCCCGTACAGTATTTAATGGTAGTTCCGAATGTACTGAACACCTGGTGAAAGTGTTTGAACGGGCAAAGAAAAGAAAAAGGAGATCCGTTAGCGAACAGAGCAGCCATGGGAATTACTTTTAAGATCATAGTTAATGAAACACGGCTACCGAGGGAAAAGTTCCGCGTCTAGCGACACTTTCCAGAGCCGCTTTTCAAATCCTTCACGACGCTTAACGCGACTCGATCTCAAAGCTCGATATTATTCGAGATTCTCTTGGTTGTAGAAAAGAAAAAAAGAAAAAATCGAATCGATTCAGACTTCAGGCCTGTAAATATTCACGATTCTATGGACGCGATTCCGAATTAATTCGAATCCATTTACAGATTACAACTATCTTTTGCACTTCCTTTAATAATCGTTTCAGGATTCTCCGTGGAAGAATATTCTTCTGGATAACCGGCAAAAGAATTCGGTACGCGGAAAAGAAGCGTCCGTATTTTCGAGCTTATCCGAGATCCGAATCTGATCTTACGAAACGACCGTTTGGAATTAGCACGTAGACGGGAATTTTCTTCCAGCTGGAACTGTCTGGAAGAAAATTAACAGAGTTTCCCCTAGACGGTTTCCATTTTCCCGGCTCGAAGCGACGTTCGAGCCGAAATCTGCCACGATCGTGGGAATCGTTTTAAACGTTTTAACGCTTTAACGCTTCGAGATCCAATCACGTGGAAAAGATACGATTCCGGGCCGACTTTCGAACCACCTATCTACCCGACTATGGACTCCGATCCACCCAACCCTTGCGAAACGAACCTTCCTCTTTTCCTCTTCTAGGCAATAATTTAACAAATTTGATCGCACATCGACTTCCGTAGAATCTGCGCTCTTTATTCTGCTATGCGGTTGTTGATCCAGATATCGCGTGTTCATCGATAGCAAACGGATGATCTGACGCGACGCGATTCGATTCGATTATTCGCGGCACGTCGCGCTGGCAACATTTTTAATTTAAGTTCGACGGAAATCCGGACTGTTTTTTCTCGAATGCGCTGGATTCGTGGCTGGATTTCAAATGGATTCGAAAAACTCCGATGATAACGCGACCGCGTCTTCTCATCGAATAGAACAGAACGACATCGATGATATATTAAGTAACGCGATTCGATCTCACAAACTTTTTCTCGAATCGAACAAACAGAAGACGTAGACAACGCGACGCCGCGGCGTGTTCTTTCAATTACATCAAAACCTGTCAATGCTTCGAGATGGTGAAACTTGTTTGGAAAGTTTTCACGTCGTTAAGCTCATCACCCACAACACTATAGCGTCAGCAAAGTCCTTTCGTTCCTCGCTGTTTACGGTTATTTATGATAGTCTTCAACTTTCTTATTTTCCCAACCTTCTACTATATCAAATTTAATTAATCATGAAGAGGTCGTAAATTTCTTTAAATGATTAATAATCTGGTAATCAGATTAAAACAAAGAATTTGGAAATATCCAAAATCGTTGTTTCATTTGGCTGTAAATCGTGAATCGTGAAACAGCATCGACGCAGATATTTCATTCGATGCTGCACATATGGTTACGTATAAGAGAATTACCGATGTTTAAAATCGAGCATCGAATCGTGGCAAGTAAATCCGATAAACGAGTAGAATTCAGCTGAACGCATCCAGCTTCACAGGCATCGTTCGATGCGTTATACGAAACTTTAATCTCGCGGTTATATCCCATATTCGTAACTCAGTGAATACTCTTTTTATCGGAGGTAGCTCAGGTGTCCAGGCTGCTCTTGATATCCACTTTTTGTTCAAAAAATCGCATAAAGTAACGAAGAAACCTTTTAACTTTACTATTAAATTGTGTTTACTAGACGACACCGAACAGCATCGCTTAGTTGTACACTTTTAAATCTTATCTCCCGCCGAGTAAATTCTTTTCGACCTGTTGAAAAATTCCAAATCAACGCTGCTTTACACAACTCGGATCAACTGCATTTCGATAAATCGCGTTCCACCTTTGCGGCTACGTACCTTTGTAAACACATATGCATGCACGTTTTGACTTGTATGCCGCGAAAAAAAAAAAATAAATATTACCACGAATCGAATAGAAAAAGGACCGCGTTCATGAAAATTGTTGACGTCGCGTCAATTTTTGTTAGTCGAACGGACGAACGAACAAACAAGCAACAAGAACACAAACGTAAGGTGGATTGAAGCGCGTCGCGACGCAGACTGGAGTTTCGCGATGAGTTCCGTAGACACGACCACTGGTCGCCGGAACGTCGCGCGTCGGGTCGTCGAGGCGCCGAGACGCATGCTCCAGGATACGTCGTACGACAGACTGAAAATATTTTGTGTATTTATCAGGAATAAACGGTACACTTCGTTAGCTTCGGTTACGACGAGAAAAAAAAAAATTTGCAAGCTTTGTCAACTCGTTTGTAAAGTTTGAATAAAAGCGCGCATGCTTGTAAGAAGGGAAAGAATTGAATGAAATTTAACATTGCATTGGACAAAAATTATCATATCTTTTTTATTAAGATGATAATAAAAATGATCATCTTAATTTTTAGCAAAATTACTATTTTTATTCTGACTGCTATAATTTAATCAGAATTGAATAGCGAAACGAAGGGGATTATAGAAAGACCGATGGAAAGATAATAGCGATCGGAATAGTCGCACGAACATAGGGGGTTCGGTTAACGACGATCAAGAATGCGAACGTCTTCGTTTAAATGCACTTTGCGATTCCTACAAAATATAGATCGTCCGAGCTAAGATGCATCTTCTCGATTCCTAACCGCGGGACGCTTGTAGAGCAATGTCGAGCAATTTATTAACCACAGGCTGATTCACCCGCTTACGATCCAATGATGTTCTGTTAATAATATCCCTCGAATTTAACACCATCGATCTTTTCTGTAAACGCGCAACTTACGACTTTGCAAGAGTTTTCTTCCGGATGAAGTTAATTCGAATAATATTTAAGGCATTTAGGGAAATGAGAAGTTTCATAAAAATATCCATTTTATTTGTTCAACTTCATTCTTGCGTGTCCCTTTTATTACATATAATAAAATACTAATAGTAACAGACGTAACAATAATTACGATAACGCGTATACAGTAGCGGTAATAGTAATAATAACGACAATGTTTCGTAATGGGACACATTAAACGTTTAAAAACATATTACACCTTTGTTTTTTCTTGACACAATAATTGTTTCTATACAAAAAAGTTATCAAGTGCTTTACAAAAATGGATTATGATACACCAGGGTGTATCAATTATCACAAGATTACTAAAGCGCCGGGGCGCGGGTTCTTCGTTCGAAGAAAATTAAAGGTTGTCATGGGAAAAAACAAATGGAAATGTCTGAACGTTTCGCTAAATGCCTACGAAAAATCAGCTAGAGCAAGATGCATATAAAAACACGAATTTACTCTCCCACCGAGTTTTTCATCCAAATTTAATTCTAAACGTATTATAACGTATCGCGTATTTAAAACTATGACAACTTTCTACCGGTAATTATAGATTGCGCTAAATTTTACGATTCGCGTTTAATTTTCTTACAGACGAAAACTCGGATATAAGCGGAAGAAAGTTTGGTACGAAGTGCTGAACGGAACGTCTTCGATTAGATCGAGCACGACAATAAAATTAAATTAAAAGTATCCACCGTCGTCTCAAGATTTAAGCGAATACAATGTATGTTATCGCGTAAAATAATGATCTGGCGTCCATCCCTAAAAGAAATTCAGACAGCAAGATTGATGCTACCTTTAACTACGTATTCCCATTTTCGTTAGATGTTAAACTGACTGCTATCGGTATTTCGAAATATCACAAGACCACGAAACGAGTCTGTCACTTTCTGCTTTTCACTAAAATCATATACATACGTTACAAAGAATTCCTACTTTGTTCAGTCGTACTCGTGAGATGGTTCTGTTTTATTGAACAAACAGTCTCTCTCTTCCTGAGTGGATGGAACATCCGAAGTGGCGGGCCTCGTGACTTTTGGAACTTTGCTAACTTTGCTAAGACCCTCGGTGATGCCACTCCTTCCGGAAATACTGGAAAAGAGACTGAGATCGTCACATTAGAACACTTAACGAGTATTGGAACACGTACACATACTGTAAACGATAAAACAAAGGCTTGTCGTTCGCACAGTAACGATATAATTTATGTGCAAATAGAATATACATGTACATACATTACAGTGGAGTAGATTCGAATGAATACTCACACTACGTCCATCTCATCGTCCTCGTCGGCTTGGGTTGTTTCGTCGTTAGTTAACGTGAAATACGGATTCGCGGAGGCTGGTCGGAACTTGTACCCGGTAAGAACAAAAAACACGTACGTGGCCATTTCACGAAACATCTCGTCCAACCACTCGTATTGGAAAGGTACCGTGATCTATAAAGCGAAAATCATGAAAGATAAATATTTTTGAAAGAATAATTTAAAGGTGTTTTGGGGAGGGACAGAAGAAGAAAAGATACGATCTTTTCGCAACGAAAATCGTACCTTCAGTAAGTACACTATGATTCTTGTGAAATAAATGTAACAAACTATCATGATATAGAAATGCCTAAAGAGCTTGAGCTTGCGTAAGTTAACAGCTGCTTTGCCGTCTGTGTGCGCAGCTTCCTGTAGGTGCCTGATACTCCAAACTACTGGAAATAAAATGGCACCACAGCAAAGTAAGTCCACGAGAATGAACACGTCTCGCCAGGTCTTGTGTTCAATGTCTCCTTCTTCGCTTTCCTCGATTATTATTTCGGCCACATTTGCCAATACCTACGAATCAAAGTTTCTCATTAAGTACTCGCCTGTTCCATATCTTTCATCACATATTGAAAACTATACATATTTTCGATGCTAACTTGTAACGGTATCACGATCATAAACAACTTTTTATCCTTGTCGGCTAAAATGTGTTTAATAAACGTCCATCCAGTACCAACGAGCACGATTGTAATAAAAAGTACAGCTCCTTTTAATAAATGAGTGATATAATATAGAATCGCCCAAGCTGCTACGTGTTCTCCTTTCGTTTGTATGAAATGATAATTGATTCCGTGGAAAAGCAGTGACAGAGATTTTAAGTACACCAAAATTGCCATTAGATAGTGAATCTTGAAAACAGGGTGCCTAAATGAAGAAAAATTTTTAATTAAAAAAATAAGAAAGAGGAAAGGCATCTTCATCGTTACCATAGAAATATATTGTTGAGGTTCTTACTTGCTCTTTCTGAGAATAAACACCCAGAAACAACCCGACAAAAAGAATAAAAGCGCCATCATAAAATAGAGAGCCGGTAAAGGCATTTCACCCGCGCTGAGGAAATTCCCGCTATTTATTTCTGATATTTGTATCTGCAAATGAGATATCATTAATGCAATAGAAGCGTGAAATTATTCAAATTATTAGGAAATAAATGTCTTACTGTAAAATCTAACGCAACCGGAGAATCATATTTATAATTTGGACAATTGTGAAAGTAAAGATTGTAAAGTCCTTCTTCTTCCTTGCTGGCGACGTATACGGCAAAACTTGTATTATAATATTTCTCTCCTTTTATAGTCTGTACGGTCATTGGAAGCTTTAAACGAGAACAAACGTTGCTCTCCGACGATTTCGTCTCGAATTCATCCTCAACAGCGGATCTTTCGATACCTGAAAAGATTACCATTATTCAGCGAAATAACATTTTAACCGATCCACCGAGAAACACTCTTTCTTTCGTTTCCGCTAAGCCATTTGAATCCGCTGAAAATGGATTAAGCGAATTGAACTCTGTTACATGCTTAATGTAATCCAATCGAAGAGTGAATTTCATTGGCGCGAAATATACTACTCTAGAAGACAGTTACCTAACCGGACTCTCAAAAATATTTGAGTTTCGAGTTATTTATAAGATTGGGGACGAGTCACGTTAATTATAGCGACTCTCATCTCGGTGGTGTTCGATCACCGATGTCGTTTCACGTTCACATTCCATGAGATATCGATCACAATCGAATTTAGTGCGGTGCAATCATACCTCGGTATGATCGGACTGAGCAATTTAATCGTTTTACATACGAAAGTATAGGAATATCGTGTCGGAAAATATTAATGCGCAATATCTGTCGCTTGTTACAAAATATACATGGTAAAACAGAAAAAAAACTAAAAACGTATGAAGTGGTAACGCATCGTTCGGTAATAACGCACCGTCATTGAACAATCAATTACAAGTATTAAATAACATGTGATAATACACGTATACAGTAAATGTCGCATCTATAAATTAGAGCGAAAATGTCTGTCTCACGATTCACAGCATCAATTTATTGCCAAATGGCAAACGGTTCAAGGTAAACCTACTCTAATCATTGGACATGATTGAACGTACTTACATACTTTCGCACTTCCAAGCATTTATAAACGGAAAGAAACGAATACTATACGTATAAGTACGCACATATGATAAATACCCATACATAGCACGTTGTATGGAAAACTTTCTTTACTGGAGGAACATTAATAACTGTATACCCAATGGATGTAATCGATGTAGTTCGTGCCAACTTCTCGTTTTTCCACCTGTTAGTGTATGTTACTAACCAAGCATCTAATATTAGTAACAGTCCATATTAAAAATAACCCGCGAATGCAATCGTGTATATTTTTAACACTCTTTCTCATGCAGTATTGACAAGTACTCCGGAATTAACGCCGTTCGCGTCATGATTCAAATTGTCATGATTCTTGCGTTAACGCTTTATGCGTTTCTTTTGAAATCCTTAATATAACGAGCGACATTGATGACCAACTAAATACCTGTCCTTGACGCAAAATTAATAACTGTAACAAATTATACGTCTGATCATCGACTTCGAACTACGCTGAAACTCTGAAAAGAAAACTTCAGTTTTCTTACTTATGGGATTGATTGATTGGACTGTAATCTATAGAATAACCGAAGTCGAGCAGTTCAACACTTTGTGAGAAACTGTGGTACATACACATTCAATTATAAAATGTACGGAAGTTTCGACGTGTTGTGAAGTGATTCATTCATTTCGGGGGATGTTTCGCGGTACAGCTTGAAACCTTTGGACATTTGCCAAAATCACGACTACGGTACGACCAACTTATTTTAAAATCCTTGTCCCTCTGTAAGCGACGTTCCTCGATCATTGGTGGTGGTGATACATTTTCTCTTTCATAATAAGTAGTTCAATAATTGTTCGTTGCGATAGTGACTTTACGACAAAGTTTATTATCGCGAGGAGGAAAGTTCAAGGGAATTGGAAAAATCTGACTCACCGTAGGAGGTGTAACGTTTTCTTCGTGGAAAGAGAACGGTATCGCTAAATCGACCCGGAAAAGAGTTTCTCTTTTCTCGAAACGCCAACACACTGCTAGAATCTTTGTAGATATGCACAGTGTGTACGTTTCGACTGCAGTTCACTTTCAACCTGAAACAGATTCGTTTATTGAGTTTCAGAAGATGAAGTTTAAACTCGAATCGCAGGAGATTCGATTAAATGATACTTACAAATTGTTCTTTAAATCCATCGTGAAGTATATGATCGCGCTGTCATCCCTCTGTTCGAAATCGGATTTCACGTTTGAAATGTCTTGGAGTACGCATCTTTCTTGATGACTATCCAAATACGGATTCATCGCATCGCTTAGGGTACGATCCAAACTGAATCCAAACTACATCGTAAAAAATAAAAAAGCACAAATTATACACACGAGGAAGATAAATCTTTCGTATTTTATGAATTTTCGTGTCATCATTATCGAATATTAACAATTTATTTCGTATTTAACTGATGATTAAACGAATACTAAAAATCCGACTATAATCAATATCGGATATTGTTTATAAATAACTCGAGAACATTATAACATTTATAACCTGACTTGAAAAGAATATTAGGTAGGTAATTATAAGTGTATCATCATCAGCATTAAATAATTGATAAAATCTGATGCGTGCGGTCATACATTTACATAAGCGTGATTAACTACATTGATAGTTCCCGTTCGAAAAGGAAAAATACGTATCAGGAAATGGTTCCGAGTATTTTCCTAGCGGTACATTTTAGGCGACGTGAATGACGGAAAATAGAAACAGGTGTCAGTGAATGGACGACGCTTAGCATTACGCGACATCCACGTTACGATTACTCACCACTGCATTCTCGTGAAAAGGCTCGGCCTTGAAATTTGTCAGATTTACGTCGAGAATACCTCCCTTGTAGAAACCAAAGGTACTCAGAGAAATGTATCGCCTGACATCTTTCTGTAACATAAATCGTATATCTAGTATAATCGTCCGAGAATCCCGTAACCTATGACTAAGCGTAGAGGATAAAGGAATTTGTGGAAAAATGATAGCCTGTACGATTGGTAGACGATTATAACCTATATTCTAACAGTTCTATTTTTTATTCAATTCTTCATGGAAATCTTTCTGCATTTCTTTTATGATATTTATAAGTATTTAGTTAAATGTTGTAGCCTTTAAAGTAAACATTGATACAATATCATCTTAGTTTATAACATTTTTTTATAATTTTTTGTCAAATTGAACGTTATTTCATACTTATTACGAATAAGCTAGATAACATGATCGGTTAAACGCAATTGACGTAATAAATAAATTCCGATAAAGTGATTAGTAAATATACATTCGTTACTACTCAAGATCAATGCAACTAACCCGTATTTCGAGTTTATGTATTCTACCGGAGGCCAGCACGAGTACTGACATAATCCAGAGACATTGTATTAATAGTTGTTTTGATCGCATTTTTATTGCTTTTCACTGGAGAAATGTCACATTACGAAAACACAAATTAACACATCTAAAATCTACACTGTTCACTCGTCGATACACGAGCAGAAACTGAAGCTTGAATCGCAGGAATGTGGACTGTGATCAGCGGAATGGATAGATTGAAACTACGCGCAATTTTTCAAACACTGTTTCGTTGTTATAATATTTTTCATTCTTAAAATTTTGCAAAATTATTTATTCAAATTACTATACGTCGAAAGAAATTTTCTTTCACATATAGTACTAAAATTTATCCGAATACAAGCTTCAGAAGGTTACGACTTGAATTGGATTTTAGTGATTTATATACTTACGTTATTGAATATTTTTATGTGTTTTCTTGAAATTGTAAAGTAATATAAAAACACAATAATTAATATAAGAATAAAACAAACGATATCAAGGATCTTACATTTTTTCATGTAGGAATTTCAAATTCCAGCAGTAATTTCGTTTGTTCTGCATTTGCTGTTCGTTTAATTCAAGTTTCATCGGTTTAATAAATTGGTTACTGTAGAAACTCGAAGGTATATATCATTATAATAAGTAATTTGAGATATTCATCTTTGTGATTAAGAAAAAGAAAATGCAGGAAAGATCACAAACTTAAAATATCATTAAGGTTATGTTCGTAGAATTGTTGGTTAAAATTACAGGGTCTGGATTTTTGTTGATGTTATGGAAGAACATTTTGCAGCGTTGAAATTGTTGGATGCGGATAATGATCATAAATTAACTAGAACTATCAGTTATTCTGAGCTTCCATCGTCTCGGCGAATCTGTATAGAAGAATCATATTACTCTGGAAATCCTTCTAGTTTGGTTAGACAATACAGTTGCGAACAAATGTTCGGTAAAACTACGAATTCCAGGTAGATATCTGCTATGGACATGTTAAATAACATAATTACACGAATTTCTCTGCCTCTAATGATTAAATTTCTTTCATTTTTAGACAATTTAATAATGAAAATGAGTGGCAGACGATAGGTCCTTCCTCTAATTTTGTTGAACCTGCTAACTGGCAATTTTGTAAAAGTAATAATATAATACATACACCAAAATTTATACTACCGAAACAATCAAGTGAAATAGGATGCAAAGAAACTAAAAATATGAATATGCTGAAAGATTCCAAATTCTCATTACGTTATTCTTCTACAAATACTAACATATCAGATGAAAGGGAGCATTTATTATGCTCAGGGCCAAAAAACACAGAAAAAGCTGAACAGAAACAGTTCAATGTTACAAATGATAATAATAGAGGCACGTATGAAGATATAAAAAAGAAATTTAGACCTTTAGCAGCAAAGAAAAAAAGTCCTGTGAAAAAGAAAGGAAACATGTGTTGCTATAGTTTTTTATGTTTATGCATGTTCCCAATAGTTATGGCAATATTTGCAATATTTTTAAATTTAGATTCATTTATGATTTGTAATCATACAATGCTTTTTTCAAATGCTAGCCTTGAATTACAACAAAAAATATATGGACAAGGACATGCAATTTCGAATATCGTTTCATTTTTAAATACAGACACTTTTTATGTGAAAGTATTGTGTCTTATAGGCGGAACTGGTGTTGGAAAATCTTATACCGCTGAAATTATAGCAAGAAATTTTCCGTATAAAGATGAAATTTTCGTCTATGATCGTATTCTAGAAGATACTATAGATACAAATGCGTTAAATTCATCTCGTTCCGACGCATTACTAATTATGGAAAATTTGAAAATGAAAGATTTAGATTTCTTTTCCGATGCAATGAACTTGTTAAGCAAGAATAAAAATAAATGTATTACGGTATTAGCAATTTTCAATGTTAAAAGTTTAAATAATTATTTAGGAAAAGAGGCAGATTCGGTAGACAACGAAAATGCAATCAACAAAGTTTTCGTCGATAAAAACATAAAATTTTTAGTTGTTCCTTATAAACCGCTAAACGAGCAGATATTAGAAATGTGTATAACTGAGATAGCAAGGAATAGCAACATGAGTCTTACCCAGAGTCAGATAAATATAATTAAGCAAAGTTTATTATTTTTCGGTAGTGGATGTAAAGGTGCTTATAGTAAGGTACAAGTTATTGGTAGAGAATAAATCTGACATAATTTTTTGTTTTATGAATGTATGTTCCTATTCTAATGATCGTGAAAAGACTTTGAAGACTGGAGTAATCAATTCAAGTGCTCAATTTGTAAATTAGTTACTACTTTTAGTTGTTTAAAGTTGAGTGGTTTGTCAGTTGTGTATTCCAACTTGAAAATGACGCAGTATTTATACGAATTTAGATAGAAAGTATAATTAATATTTTTTTATGTGGTAAATGCTATCATTAGTTTTTATATCATTAAAATTTGAAGATATACGTTTGAAATTTTGTAACTTGATATACTTTTTGATGACAATAAATGAGATAAAATGAGTATTTAAAGTGTTCTTGCCCTAATTTATTGCGTGAAATCTACACAAATAAACTCTGCTTACTAGCAAAGTTCTTTTGCGCACGTAATTTCTCCGACTCTAGTCGAAACATTCTTGCGGGTATAGTCACAATTTCACTTTCTGATTATATATAAGTGTTTAGAGTATTGCGTGTCAAAAGTTGTGAAGAAAACAGAAGGTACTATCGAAGCAACAGTTACGTGGACTTATGTCAGTATGATCGCTACCGTTATGCGTAACCGTAACAGTAACAATCCATCTTTATATTCCAACTAATACTTACATTTCACTTTTACTTTTATAACGGATGACATTTATATGTATATCAATAATATCTATATCACAGAGAAGAAGGAATAGGTATTATATGACTATACGATGAATCACGTTATTCTAATGATGTTGGTACCGAGTAAAAGTAAGATCCGCTCTCTTCATTTTTTTGGCAATATCGTTAAACTTACCAGAGATTGAATCTAGCAGAAAAGAAATTTCCTAATTGCTTGTTACGTGGACCGATGATGTAAGGTAAAAAACAGTTACGTGTAATACAATGATTATTAGGGGGAAAAAAAAGTACAACTATACATTTAAGAAATTATTCGGATGTAACACGTTGCTATCGACTTGCGTTATCACTGTTGCTATTAGAATGCGATATTACATTTTCAAAATATTTCCTTAAAATAGAATATACTGCTTACTATGTTCTCAAGAGTGATTCATAATAAAGTTTCAACTACGAATTATGATTTTTAAGGTTTTCCTGAACCTTAATTTACTCCAAGAAAGTGTGTAGTTGTAATTATTCTAGTCTTGTTTGAAATAAAATTTTTTTTACCAACACTCAGTTTGTGTAAATAAACCGTCGAATATTAATACGGAAGTTGCGAACAAGAATAGAACGTTTCACACTCACGTGTATAATTCCCGAAAAGTTTTGTAAGGAACTCGTTGCGGTCGAGGAGGGAAAGAATCGTTACGAAATTATCGTCCATCGTTTAGTTAATGTGAACGACGATACCTACCGACGTATCTATAAAAGACGAACAATTAGGTAAACCGTGACAGTCCGGTACTTACGCTTCGCCGCAAAATATACGGAACAATTTGTATACGGTACCAAAGATCGTTCGTCCTCCGTCGAGGAACACATTTTCGCAATAAAACAAAAAATAGTTTCAAAGAACATATTAGCTGACTCTCGAAGGGACTTTGTTTCACCGCTTCAGAGGTACAAGCAGCCGCAAGGATACCAAAGGTGGAGTAAGAAGAAAGGTGTAACTGGAAATTATAAAAGAGCGCTCGTCGGTTCAGAGGAGACAGTCTCCTCCAAGTATTCACCTGCGTGACTTCGATTCGGGTACGTTATCCTTTTTTTCTTCTATTTTACAATAACTATTATGTTCAAGCTTTTTATACAATATAGCACTCTGGAAACCTCGACATTTTCTGAATGAATTTCTTCCTAATATCTGATCATTATTTTTATTCAGCCGATGTGTTCATTGTTCTTCAAATAAATTCCAATCATTTCGTCCCGATCGGGTCTTTATCGAATTGATGCATCAAGAAGTTTAATTACGATTCAAGTTTTATAACGAGTTGTCCAAAAAGATTTGCTTCGAGCATATTTCCTTATCCGGAAATAAATCGCGTATATAATTTGAAAAATATAATTCTAAATCCATCGAGTTCGTTGACATAATTAACGTAATTGATGTAATAAAAAAAAAAAAAAATTTTCTATTTATGAAGCGAATGGCAATTTGTATGATAGAAAAAAAATTCTAGGGGCAATAACTTGATAAATTGCACTTTCTACACGGAAGATAGGTGCACACGCGGTTAACTTCCCCGATTGCACGCTTACCCTATTAGCGTTGCATTCATTCATTGCACTCGTAGCATAGAGTTTACAAACGGTGCAAATCAGCATATCAGAAAGTTTACTAATTGTAATGAGTATTCGTATCGTTAATCGTGCGAGGATGCTCTTATGTTTGTGATATGTTTTAAAGTCAAAAATACATATATAATTAAAACTGTATAAATAGCACCGACCCGACGCGACGCGACGATCATCCGGTGACTTTCACGGACTGAACACGTAATTTATGATAAAACCGACTGATTGGAAGGAAAAAAGGTGCCAAAATTATTACGTGACAATGATGAAATATTTATCGATCCATGTCAGTCGGTCGTACAAAATCGAAGAACAAAGATGGGCGCGCAACTTGGTCGATTGCATAATCGGAGAAAGTGATTGCGAAACGAGTCAGTCACTCGACGTACGGGTAATGCCGGTCCCGGTGTTTGTGGCCGGTTGAACATTATATCATAAAGCGAGGGAAACGTTATGTCACGAAATCGTGGATGGTTCAACGGTGGGTAAAGAATTTCTCATGAAGTTACAAAATTTCGTTGAAACGATCGTAAGTTACGCGCGCGAAACTTTAGATATTTCGATCGGTATCTCTGAGCATCGCGATATAGCAGGCATTCACGGCTTGACTTTGAACGTTGCCGGGAAACTATGTCAGGGGTTCGTTAAAGAAAGTGCAGCCGGAGATCGAGAAGCCACGGGAACGAATTCGACCTCGTTTCTTCGGTACAAATCGGGACGAGCGAGCGGTATTTCGAACATAATATTTATAAAAATTTGCAGAAGTAGCGAACCGAAGAATGTAAGACGATCGCAGGGGGTGCTTATTATAGACGAACGACGAATAATCAAAGTCGAATGATTTTTTAGAACTACACTCGATCGATAAACTTTTGGATTTTCAAAATTTGAAGTTACCTTCAAGTTGTCGTTTGTTCATTCGAAAGTAATCGATCGAACAGCAAAATGGGAGCGATCGAATGGGTAACCCCGGAAGACAATTACGAGTGTTCCCTTTCGGAAGAGACGCAGAAACTTGCCAAGGAGGAACTCAGAGAGGATAAAAATACGAGAGACCAAGCCCTCGAACAAGTACGCAACTGGATAAAATTGAATCCACGTATTCAAAACTGTCGATTGGGTAAGAGAACAACCTATATTTTTTTAAAACTATTTTATCCTATTTAATGTCGTAAACGAGTGTCACGCGTTGTGACTGAATCTCGTTACGCTTTTAATCGATACGCTTCTCGTTCGACAGACGCACAATTTTTACTAAGATTCTTGAGATGTAAAAAGTTTAACGTACCGATGGCCGAAGAGGCGATCGAAAGATATTTATTGCTTCGTCAAGTATATCATCCGGCATTCAACAATTTAGACATGTTGGAAACAACGATAGAAGAGTTGGTGTCTCTGGGGTAAGATTCGAGGGCGATCACGCGCACGGTGCACCCTAGACTATAATGACATTTCAATTTGTTTTTCGTTAGGTATTTGTTTGCCGTGCCTGGCCGCGACAAGAAAGGCCGTCGTGTTGTAGTTGCCAGACCAGGTAATCTCATCGATATTAATTACGTTTGTCAAGTTTTTCCGCCGTTGACTCGAATATTTTCATGCGACCTTCTGAAACCGAATACCTACAGCTTACTATCAAATTTTGTTTTTCTTTTTTTTTCGAAATATTCTATTTAATTTAATAGAAATTTATGCAACGAATTTAAGTTATTTTTTAACACGCGATGGCGGTCGCGATCGTGATCGCGATCGAAGAAGAGAGTGAGTAGCACGTGTTCTCTAACACGCGTTTACTTTTCCTTTTCATGGAACACATTTTCAGGTGTTTTCGATCCTCATAAATACACGAACGCCGACATGTGCAGAATGCATGCGATCACTTACGAAACTTTAATGGAGGACGAGGAAAGTCAAATAAGGGGTTTTGTTCATTTCGCCGATGGAGCTGGTGTGAGTTTTCCGCATCTGACGCTTTTCACGCCAAAGGAAGCTGTTCGCATCGTGAAAAACGGCGAGGTACTATAATAGAACGCCTTTCTTCTCCTGTATTTTTCAACTAGTTGGACGAGAACAGTTAGCTTACAAAATCACGGAACAATTTCCCTTTCGTCGAATGTTGTGTGATACTTTCGATTCAAGGACAGTGACGCAATGACATTTCATAACGTCTTAAAAAAAGATGAAGAAGAGAAGCAACCGGTTCCTTGAACTTTGTTCTTCCTTTCTCGAGCTGACTCTCATGGGGACCATCAATGAACAATGCGTCGGATTTAATTTATTGTTAGTTGAAAATTAAAAGATAAAGAAAATTCACGAAACAATGATCATTTCAGCGCACCATACCGATGCGGCACAAGGAGGTTCACGCCATTAATACGCATCCTTCCTTGAAATTTGCTCTCGATTTCGGCATGTCGTTGATTTCGGAGAAAATTAAAAAGCGTGTCAAAATTTACACCAGCCTGGAAGATGCGATCAATCGAAAAATGGACACGAGCATGTTGCCTAAAGAGTACGGCGGTACAATGCCGATGAAGGAAATGATCGGTAAGTAACGAATTAAAACCATATCGTTTCATCGATAATTTCCTTGTTCTGCTGATTCCGATAACGATATCGTAGCGATTCTCGAATTTGATAACTTATCGAAAAATCCTTTGTTATTTTGCAATCTGATGCTTTGTTCTCGAGATATAAGCGACTTAAGATTAGAAAACAAAGTCCCAGTAAAATGAATTATTTGCGTAGCGCTATGGAGAAAGGAGTTGCTAGAAATGAGACCGACGTTGTTGAGTCACGATAAGATGAGAGTATGTTTGGATTTGTACTCGGACAAGGCTCGAGAAGGTGCGGTGTCTGCTCTGAAACAAGGTTTTAGCTGTTCCGAAATCGGGACCAGCGATTCCACCATGTACGGTATCACCGGTTCCTTCAGAAAACTCGAAGTCGATTGAACAATATTGCAAACTGATATGATGGCAATTTTCGCGATGAGAAAATGGCAAAACTTCGATCTCGGTCAGCGCAAATCGTTTTTGGGCTCGATCAATTGTTGATATAAATATTTAAATTACGTTTAGAAACGTAAGGCGCGGTGTTTAGAAATAGTGTCACGAAATTTTAGTTACGTTTTGTAGTCTTATCGTTAAATGCCGTAAACGTAGAGGTGAATGAAGAAATCGAAGGGATTTGAATTGGACTTGAAACGATAGGGTTGCGTTTTGATAGTTCGTAAATTACATGTAATTCTATATTTGTCGCTTGTAAATAAGACTGTGTCAATGGAAATAAATGTATACCTTTTTTTTTTTTTTACATCTATCTTCGCCTCTTGTTCTTTTCGCCAGGTAATCGTATAACAAGTTTAGGAAGCGAGCCAAGTGCCGATAATTTTCCGCACGTTTGCTCTAGCGTTAACAAGATCCTTAACGTCGGTGTCTAGGTCGCTGTATAGATCGCGACAGTGCGACGACCCTGGAAATAACGTTCGATCGTCAGTAGTTCGAAACGAAAACAGCGAACCTCCTTCCGTTACCTTTGATAAGTATGGCAGGTGAGTACGCGTTCAGATCTTGAAGAACCGAAAGCTTATGCCACGGATCGACGTCACCGTTGGTGAAAATTACTTTGACCAAATCTGGTCGTACACCGCCGTACATCAGATTCGTTCTTACGATCCTCGTGTTCAAGAAATCGTTATTGTAACTGGAAGAAAAGGGCAGAATCAAATAGCAAGCAACATATCTGCATAGAGAGTTTGCTTTTTCAAATACGTACTAATTACCGTACAAATCGGTACACATATCTGTAAAGTAATGCAACGGGAATAGAGATCCAAACACGGAGTTATTCGAATTGGTCGTTTGGTAATAACCGAATTCCGTGCAGGTTTGATAATACCATTGTCTGTTAATCTTGCTACTCCACGTCTCATTCTTGTAAAGTTTCACGAATTTCTGGTAATTATTTTCCACGCAATCCGTCAGGTTGTCTGAAACGAGATGCGCCAGTCTCTGCAGAGGACTGCCCAAGTACTTAGCGGTCATTTTTTCGCAATAAGCTGCGATTTTTGTTCGATTTTTTTCCACTTTGTCGTACTGTACAATGCCAGCAAATTCCTGCCAACAAAACAAATAGACTTACGCGATTACAGAATTGCGCAACGATTTCTCTCGAAGGATTGTTGATTTGGTTTTTTGTTTTTAACAATAAGAAACTGACGTCGTCTTCTACTAGTAGACTACGTAACGCAGTTTCGTAACGTATCACGTAACCCAGCGGGAAATAGTAGTTTAGATTTAAAAAAACTATACCTCTGCTAATATGTTCATCAGGTGTCCGATATCATTGGGAGACTTTACGTCGGGCACGTCGCACAAACTGAAACATTTTCCTCGAATAACATTAGCTGTGTAATATTAATTTTTTCCTAGAGTGCAATTAAAAACAGACGATAATTACTGGAAATAAGTTTTTAATTTCTCCGGACCATCTTTAGAGAAAAGTAGTTCTTCAACCGAGTTGAACGCAACTTTGACCTCGTCCGCGCAGTTTTCGCTGTGTCTACGTAGGGATTCGGTCACAACTTCGTAATATTCTAAGATAAACATTTCTCTTCTTTTAGTACACGATTAAAAGTTTACCGAAACGTAAATAGTTTCGTTACTTACCGTAAAAGTCAGCCTTCGCGTACATCGGAGCACTACTGGCTAATGCACCCTGAATACGAATATCAATCGTTACTGATTTTCTTAAAAAAAAAAAGAAAAGAAAGGACGAGAAAAATGTTTAAACACCTGAATAAGATGAGGGTACTTTAGTCTAGCCCATGCTGCCATACTTCCGGCGTAAGATCCACCAAAAACGATAACAGTGCTGTTCCGAAGAGCTTCATCTTTCTTTTTTATTTCGATAAAGTATGCTAAATCGGCTAACGCCTGATCCACGCTCAAATATTGCAAGTTACTTGAACTGATGTCGCTGGAAATGTTCGAACGGTGCATAATTTAACATGTAACGCGAAAAGAAAAAGAAAAAATAACAAACGTCTTACCCGGTTGGTTTACTTTGACCGTAATAACGATGCTCGGTGTAATACATCATCGCGTTATGAGCGGAAGCGATCTCGAACATTAGGCCAGATTTTAAGAAACCTGTGGATATTTCCCATTCTCCACCGATCATAATCATTATTGGTCCACCTTTCTTATGTAAACCAGCATTTTCGTAGTATCGCTGTTGAATAAAACGTATAAATTTAACGACATTACTCTAGAATAATTGTTCATTCGACAAATACCATTGACCAAGTCCGATTGTCACGAGGATTGAAATGATCGAGAGGCTGCTCGATCCGAGCTTCGATTACGTTCTGAGAATCCGATCTATTCAAAGAAAATGGTTCTTCCAAACCTCGGAAGTGAAATCCATGAAGACCAACGGCATCGCTCGCTCGAAAAGCGATGCACAACGACAATAAAACACTCAGGACGATCATATTAAACTTTCTAGAGAACAAAATTTGTTCGATCAGCGTTCAAGCTGATCTGAAAAGCACTGATTCACAAATTCTTTTCGGCGATTGTTTTAATACGTTTCAACGATCGATATCAAATAGGTTCCTATTAACTTTCAATCAAATTGAAAGAGTTTATCTGATAAGATGATACGAAGGTTTACAGTCGGATCGGATTGGATCGAATCGAATCAATGATTGCAACCACCTTAATCACGGTAAAATGTATACAATTCAACAATAAAAAAATATCAAATTATCAATACGGATATGAGTGCCCGATAGATAACATGCATTACTCTATGTACGCACTTATCTAACGCACTTAACGGATTAAAAAGTGTTAAAGCGCATCGAATATAAAACATTTTATTGGTAAGTGTGCTTTGAAAAAAGAGAAAAACTAATTACAATCTTAATTACAATAATTACACGAGACAATGTTGTTTACTTGCTACTTGTCTTTAACTTCATCCTCAGAATCCGTCGTTGCCCACTCATCGTCAGACTTTTTCGAACAGACTTTACTCTTCGTATCGTCGATGGACCCGGATGAATCCGAGTCCATTGATTCCATGCTTTCCGAATCAATGTGTTCGAAATTTTCTTTGTCCCATTTAGATTTCACGCGTGTCGCATACTTTGTGTTCTCAGTGTCCACGGTGTTGGGTTTTTCGGATAGCTCGTTAGATTTCCTTCTCGGGGAGTCTTCATGAGATTTATCGTGATTTTTCGAATTGTGTTTAACGTTATCGCGATCCTCTTTATCTCTCCTAGAATAGTTGCTCGAAGATCGAGGAATTTTCGAGCGATAACTTTTGTCGCTGCTTTTCGTGTGTCTTTTGCTAGAATATTTTGGTGACTTTGGTAAGTCGCAACTATGCTCCTCTTCCCCCTTTCTCTGGTGTTTTGTCGAACGTCTTCTGCAAGATTCACGGCCATTCGAAACTTTATCGTCTTTACTTTTCTCCTCGAGACGTTTTCCAGAGCTCGATCGACGATGCTTAATCGACGTTTCTCTATCGGATGGCTCGTGTCGTTTGTCGCGCGTGGATTTTCTGTCGTCCGAATAACGATGACGTTTGTCGGTGCTTCTCGAACGATGTTCAACTTCGACTTCTGGTGATTCTGACCATCTCCAATTCTTACTCTGCTCGACGTCGCTGCCGTCCTCCCATTTTGATTTACCTCTGAAAATAAGAAATTACGTTGCGATTAAAATATAAACTGTTAAAAAACGTCTTATTATTCGAAAAGATGATGAGATGATAAAAAGAGATACTTGTGATCGCTTCTTCTGGTGCTGGCAACCTCGTGAGAAGACGAGACCGACTGCTGTTTCGCCCATCTTGGAGGACTTTTAATGTCGTACTCGTCGTGCGGATTTTTAAAAGTATGCAAAAAATTGCATGCCCTTCCCTTCGGACATTTTGACATCCCGCATACGGCGCTTCTCCAAGACTTCAAATTGACAAATTCGCAATTGAGCTGGCGACCAGCGTACCAACGACCTTTCAATCTTCTCAATGCTCTGGCTGCTTCTCTTTCGGTATAATATTCGACGTACAAGTTCCCTCGCAGGTGAACCTCAGTGTTGCAACAGTATTTCAGGGTTTTTATTCTTCCAAAGGATTCCAGTTCTGGGACAACATCCTTGTAAAATTCACGAAAATGTTGTCTCGTTTCGGAAGTTTCAAATTCTAGCGCGACATCGGTGTCGTACTCGGCAGAATTTTTTTCCAGGGAAAAATGCGTGTAAAAGCCAGGTACTAATATCACTTTGCTCAGACATACTCTTCGATGATTTCTGGAGCAAGTGTCGCCGTAGCTGGAAATATATTATTTACAAATATCTTTGTTATTATCACGTTACTTTAACGTTTCACTTACCGGCAAGCGCCCGTTTTGCTGAAAAAAGGGCAAAGCTCTTTTCCAGGCTGGCTTTCGATCACTTCGCGCAACGCTTCTGGGGTCTTGATCCCGTCATCGATGTAGTCATCGATCTCCTTCAAAAGCAGTTCTCGCTTTCTAATATCCTCCTCTCTTTTACGTTTCTCTTCTTCCTGCTTCTTTCGAATCGCTTCCTGTTTCGCCTCGAATTCTTGCCGAATTTTCGCCTCCTGTTCCAGCTGTACCAGACGAGCTTTTCGCTTTCGTTCCTGCAGAATTTGCCATTCCTTTTGGGCTCTCACCTGTTTCAATTCAACCAGAGAAATATTATACAGTTTTGGTATAGATACCAGTTTATTCGCTTACTGGAACCATGTAATAACTGATAGGTTTTGGTATCCACATTGCATTATTCTCATGGTTAGAGTAAATTGTTTCGAATGATCTTAGAACTAATCGAACGAGTACCATCGATCGTTGAAAAACAAAGACATTTCGATGCTGACAATGTTAATTTTTATAAAATCTTGAAATTAAAAAATCAATCAATCAAAATTTAAACACGGCTATTAACTTTACCTCCTCTTCTAACCATTCCCGTTCTCGTTGATCGTGTTCTTCTTTTTCTCGTGCCTCTTTTTCCTTTTCTTCAAGTTCGCAATTTTCGAGCCAGTTTAAATAATCCGCGTTTTGCTCGAGTGCTGCCCTCAATCGTTCTTCATCCGCTTGCCGCTCTACGGCTGCTTTGCGACGCAGACGCCTGCGACGTTCTTTCTTCGCTACTCGTCGCCACTCTTTATGGCTCTTTTTCGTTGAACAACACCCTTCCATTACCATACATTTTTCACGAATAAAAATGTCTGTTTCACCTTCGACGATATTACGAATGATCCGGTAGTCGCAAGATAACGTTCGTTACACATTTGACAATTAAATGGGTCGTTGAGATGCAGACACCACGTGCACACCGCCATATTATCTTCGAAACAAGCAGCTTCGATCTAACGAATAGTCCCCATCTTTTGGAATTGTACGAAATTACGCGTTGACGGGAAGAAAAAGCTTTTCGTCAATGTATTTTACATTATTTAACGAGATGACTGAAACTAATGCATACGATTATACAGTTCAACTATTATACAGTTTCGGAATAATATTCATCCAAGTAGTTAAAATTCGACCATTCCGCTATCTGTACAAAAACGATGGAAACTACTCAACGATTTACCGGTCGATTTTCCAACACTAGTGAATCAGTGGTGCCATTTATTGGAAAGCAGTGGAAGTTACTTGTCGGCTTATAGTCGGTAAACGACTAGCGCGAGTATTTGTAATGTAAAAATGATTTACAGACCGTGAAATGTTTGCCAGGCAAAATGAATAAAAAAGCTACCGACAAATAAAATAGCGATAAATGGGACTCGACAATTCGGTAAAATGCATTCAAATAGTTGCATTCAACATTTTGCTTTGGCATTTACTTCGTATTACACGATGAATATTTATTACTCGAAAATAATAGGACGGATTGACATATAGCATATGTAGCAATTTCATCCTGATGGTACATTGAGTTTTCTTTTGACGGTGTAGTTGCTACGGTCCTGCGAGGGTACCGTTACAACTGACGGAGCGTTGAACCCTAAATGGTACGAACCGGCGTGGTGGAACTACCTTCGGCATTTCCTAAATCGCCACTGACAAGTGCACTTAGGCCAGTTGTGTTCTTCCCAAATGAATCATCGAAAAAATTGTGTACGCGTTGCCTGACAATTATAGCTTGCAATTAGTGGGATCGTGAAACTCGAAAACAAAGGTGTTTCAGTATAAAGAGTGAGGATGGAATTGAAAAATGGCCACGTCGAAGAAAAGGAAAAGAAAAGAACGAAGAAACAGAAGTCGATCTTTTGGACTTACGTGTTGTGGTTGTTTGGAGGTCTGTTTGGGGCACACCACGTGTATTTGGAACGAGACATACAAGCGTTCGTCTACTTTAGCACTTTTGGGGGATACTTTGGTCTCGGATGGCTTCGAGACATTTACAGGATTCCTTCGTACGTGCGAGACGCTAACGAAGATCCCGGTTTCTTGAACGAATTCAAACAGAAAGTCAGAAGCAATGGAAAGGTATCAGATTTGGAGAATTCGTGAATTCTCTTAATACTAGAGGAACCGACGATGCATCATTTGATTTCAGCCGCCATTCTCCACTGTGCGATTTGCTGCCGAAAATGCAGTGGCGTATTTATGGGCTGAACTGTTTCGTAATGCCATTCCGGAAGACGAAATTTTTGGTATCAATTTCAGGCACTTGTTAATCTTGACACCCTTGGTGATTGCTCTAGGTAAGAAAATTATAAGTTACAAAACACCTAGATGAATTTTATTTTCGTCTGACTTATTCTTCGCGCTTGCTAATTATGTACGGTTGTTCGCGTACAACAATTAACCGATAACATTCTTCAAGGCCCTGAAATTGAATACGTTTAAGAGCTCGAGTTTCATCGCTGATAATACATTTACCGCGACCGCAGTAGCTAGCAAAAGAAAAATATTACATTACCAATTCGCTAGTAGTTGGTCGCTTTCAAACGTTATGTTCCATCTAACTTTAATTATTTAATTAGGTGTCTGGACGATCGGAAATATCGGCAGGGAACAAGGATCCATATGGTTCGCTTTATGCTCGGCGTACTTGTTTTATCCAACTTTATCCTATATCGGGGACGACACCGTATGGTTGTCTTTGATGATCGTAGCCGCTAGCTTAAGTTTCGATACGTTCAGCAAGCAATGGAGACTAAAGCCAAGAAGGAAAAGAAACCTTGTTCAAAGAATCGTTTACCTAGGCTTCGCTGTCGCGATTTATCTTTGTTTGATAGGATGTTATCTCTACTTCAATGCAGTCATTACCGACAGCGAAGGCGAAGAGATCAAACTATCCGAAGCGATTCAGCATTTCTTAACGTCTCCTATATGGCTGGATCTTAAGGTTCGTTAAGATAATAACGTGAAATATGCTTGATTAACATCAGCCTTTTACGTATTGCAGGCTAGCTTGGAAGCGACGTGGAATCAAGCGATGCATCAAGGTTTTTGGGCAACATGGACGCAACTGGTGGACCTAACCGATCCTCGGGGAGAAATAAATGCTTACAAAGCAAGTCTCGATGTTCGATTCGTAAAATCTGCTGCTTTAAATGATGTTGACGATTTTAACGATGTTGCGTTTTTTTTTTTTCTTTTTTGGCACAGGTGTTGGGTCTGTCGCAAACGGCCACGCAAACCGAAGTAACGGCTCGTTGGAGAGCTCTCTCGAGAGACAATCATCCTGACAAGATAAAAGGCAGCGAGGAGGAGAGAAGACAAGCCCAAGAAAAGTTCATGGAGATACAGCAGGCGTACGAAATCCTTTCGAAGGCAAAGAATCGTAGACAACGTCGCAACAGAAAATCTGATTGATCTGCGAGCAGTTTAATTGTGTATGGCAACTTTAAGGTATCCCAGCTTTCGTACAAGTTGCAAAATTAATCAAAGTTCCGATCGATAGGTTCATAGTATTCGTGGAAATATTTCGTATCTCGAATACGTTTCGCGATTTAGAATAAGAACACATATATATGTAGAAAGTATACATATGTAGGTTACATGTTTTTCACTCGATCGACAATTTAGGCGAGGTACGGTGACGAAATGATTTTGGGCACCGATCACATTCTGCCTCGTTGTAGATGTCTGTTTATACGTGTAAATACAAGAACTGACTTGTGTAAATATGTTTATACCTGTAAATATAAAAGCAAGAAAAGATAGTATGTACCTTCTGCTAGTGAAGCTCAATTCTAATCTACCTTGACAACGAGTCCAGTTTACCAATTTACACGATGTTTTTAATATCAAGAAGTTTATTTAAAAGTTCGTTCAACTATTGTTATACAGAGATACAAAATATCGCCTTATCCACCGGCACGCTTAAAACGTCGTAAATTTAAAAATCTTGCAGCGAATGTTTCTCGTCTGAACTCGACAGATGATTATTTAGAATCGCTTAGAAACTATTACATCGATTTCTTTGCACGATTCTCTGAGTCATCGTAACTCCAGTTCGTTTCTTTGGTATTCTTGGCTTTCGAGCTACGTGATTCCATCTTCTTCTCTGTTTCCTACCGTCTACCCATATCGTAGACGAAAAATATAAGTTCGATCGTTACTTGATCGTACCGAGTCCACGGTAATTCCATCGACCATGACAAGGTTACGCGAATCGAATAGGAACTGTAGCAGTATCGAACAACGAGGAAGGATATTGAAAATTGGTCTATTTATTTCTTTTTTTTCGTTCGCGACGATTGTTTCGCGACCGTGTTCTCGATCTTTTCCGCGAAATTTGATCCGTACTTGTCCTTTGATTGGTCGAGGAAATCCTGCGGCGAAACCAGCGTCACTCTGAAATATTTCAAACGATACGATCACGTTTAAACGAACGGCAAAAATGGTAAAAAATGATCGTTTGTGAGGGTAATGGAGCGAGATGGAAAGAACGGTACCTTAACTGAGGGACGCTCAGAGGTCGAAGAAGACTTTTAACTACTGGAGGGACTTCGCTCGATTTCGGCAAAGCGGGACTGCTTGCGCAAAGTGCGGCACTGGTCAATTGGGAAACCAAGGAGAAATTTCTATCTGGTCCAGAAGTGGTGCGGAAAACTTTCCTTATCTTCGACTTGAACCCTGAAGACGGTGGCGACAGTGGAGTCGAAGGAATCGGCATCACCTGTTTCAAACCTGTGTTATCTCTCTTCCACTTTCCCAACTTTTCTATTTTCCTAAAAATTCGTGGGAATTTCGTTGAAACGCTTTTACCTTTCCTTGCAGCACTTTCGCCGCTAGTTCAGGTTCGCTGCCCCATCTACACGACGTTGATCTCTCCAGGAGTCTATGCCTGGCGAATCTTTCGATCACTTCGGCGCAAACGTATCTTCCGCAAAATCTGGCCCATTGTTCTGCCCTCAGCCCTCTCCCGTGATCTCTTAGAGTTGGATTCGCGCCTAAAAATAGTTAGACGCGTAAGAACGTTACCTTGCTACGAACGTATCGTAAAGAAAATAAGAGAAAGAAGAAACGGTTCTAAACAAAAGTGACGTGAAATGATCCGTGGCAGACGCGGCAGACACGGGCACGGTAATACTCGTAAATTTTGCTCACCGGCAAACAAGAGAATTTTTGCGCACTTTGTTCTTCCTTGGAGGGCAGCCTTCATCAACGGGGTGAAACCCGACGCGTTTCTAGCGTCGACTTCGATCTCCGGGCACCTTTGTAGCAGTATGTTCAAACAGTCTGTTTGGCCTGGATATGAGAAAAGGAGAAAAGAGTTAAATGAAAATGAAGCAGCCCAGTGGTCGGCCTACGTCCTTCGGGAAATCGAAATACGTCCGCGTATTTCGAGTAACTCGACGTCGTGTTTTGGCTTAAAATGTTCGTCGATGAGCGTCAATGCAAAACCACGCGTCTCTCCGCTATATCTACCTACATACGTTTCTCTCTAACGTTGGTTATTTCTGGCATCGATGACGCGGTGGAATCCTTACGGCATCGTGCGTGTAAATTTTGACGTTTACGCGCTCGTACGTCGACCACTCGAGCCCTGATCTTCTAACGATTCGTTGCGTTTAGGAAATTTATATTCATTTATATTTATATTCAAATTTGATTGCAACAGGGGATGAAAACAACTGTCCTTGAACGAAGCAGTATTTTATTTTCGTAGCAATCTTTTCCTTTCCCTCTGCAAATATTTATTAACCAATCCCTATTTCGATCCGGCGAGTATCTATACCGGCTGCGAATCGATGCGAGACGTGCAACGCGACGAAAAAAAAACTTTTTTTCAATATCCTATGCTTTTTCTTCAACGTAAAAAGTAATCGCTTACCCGCCTGCGCGGCAAAGTGCAGGGGCGTGTTGCCCTCGTTGTCGGGAGTATTGGGATCCACCCCGTCGAACGACAAAGCTAGCTCCAACATTGTCGACGTTCCGTTTCCAGCCATGTAGCTTATGGCGGTCTGGCAAGACAAATAAACAATCTCAATGTTGATTCACTCAAAAGTTTGCTTCGAAAGCTCGTCGATTACATAAACTGCTTTTTCGAAAGAATTCTCTAACAATTCTGTTACCCTGGCGTACTTACCGTTTTCTTCTTTTTTTTTTTAAACATCGCTTCTATTTATTCGTCTCATTAGAAAAATCTGATTTTGAAAAGAAGAGAAGGACGAAGGAAGAATTCGCAGCGAGAAGGCTGAGAATGGGCACTCGTTATTCTTTGCTGCAGAGATAGAGCACAATAGACGGTGCCCGTTAAGGATCAATTTATTAAGTGGTTACTGACGTTGACGCGATAGTTCAAAGTCGCGCTATTACTTTATATCTGCGTCAGCTTAGCGAACACGCGTCAGAGCCAGGCCACGATTGTTTTTCGCGCAAAGAAGAACGTTCGCTGCTCTTTAGAACCGTCAAACTACCAGAACTGTTTATATTTGGTGCATCGAAAATGATGTTTCGCGGTACGAGGAAGCAACGTTGGTTTAACAGCTTTCCTTTTAACCATAGTCTGCACCGTAAACTCTCCCGTGCGTTTTGTGCGGAAAACATTTTTTTTAATTTTTACGTAATGGCGCGGAATGGTAGTATTGGATAACGATAGCTTACCCTGCCGCTGCTGTCAGCCACGTTAACATCCATATCACCGAATCCAAATTTTCCCACCCTAAGGGTAATCTCGTTGAGAGCCGCGTCGTCGGCATCCCTGGCAGCTCTGAGTAGGGCCGAACGGCCCTCGTTGTTCGTTTCCCACGAGGACGGCACTTTTCTGACGATCGTATCAGCCTCGCTATGATCTAACACCGGTTCGGAACTTTACATTTACCTAAGCTCGTTAAGAGAAGACGCGAAAATAGAAGAAACAATAAATAGGCGGATTTGGATCGACGTTAAACCGTGCATCTACGTGTGTTTTCAGTCAGCTGCAAACCCTGATGGACGCGTTTATTTCGACTTTATAACACAAAGCGTAGGTAATATTGTTACGAATGTCAGTGTCGAACAGAGAGCGTATTTTACGCGTTCTATATACGAACGAATACACGTTTCTAACAAGCAACGTTCTCGATTCGTTCGTTCCGTTCAGTCTGTCAACGCGTCGCATTGTTCTTCGATTTCAATTCCTTTTGTCCATGCGTTTAGAGTTAGAGCGTATTTAGACGTTCCCCTTGAAGGACTTCCAAAGAAAATAGCACCGGTTAGGCACCGGTTAGGCACCGGTGCGCAAATTCTAAATCTAGCCTTTCGTAGAAGATTGACTTTGAGAGAAATCGCGAAGCTGTACTTTTTACGATCGACGTTTTCTCAAGTAGGTCAAGGACGTAACATCGAACGCGTCCGATTTCGTACTTTTCATCTTAACTGAAGGACGGAGGAAGAGAAAAGAAGAGAAGGGAAAGGCATACCTTGCAGGACACCCTTGTGATAGGCCTTGACCTCGTGAACGGCCCCGGTTCTCCTGTACGGTGCCCGTTTCTCCTCGAAGCTGGTATCAGAACTGAAGGACACTGATTTCTTCACTCGAACACCGTTCTTCTTCTTCTTCCGTTCGACTGGCAGCGTTTGAACGCTCGGCGAACGATAAAGAGACTCAAAGTCGTTGGTTACGCTGTTCAAAATCGTAAAGTATCCTCTGACATTCGATGATTTCGCGCGATTGTCGCTAGTTTTCTTCTCCCTGACGCGACAAGCAGTCTGTGCGATGTTCGCCAGAAACGCGGAAGACCTTTTTAAAATACCGTTGTCGAAGGGCCTTCGTCCTTTTCCCTGTGCCGCGGAGATACCTGAAATTGACACCTGCCTACAATTTCTGCGTTTTCTGCGTTTGACGAGTGTCAAAACGATCCTACCATTTCAAGGACGATTTCTATTATTCGTTTGGATACGTAGCGTTCCGTAACGGTTCAGACAAGTATTCTTGCAGTCGTTTAAATAGAACTGTTTATATATAACGTAGTGGCAACGGTTCAGACAAAAATTCATTGACAGTTGTTTCATATCTGTTTTGAAATAATAAAATAAAATTTCAATCGGTACATTTACGGTTACTCGATACTACTCCACATAGTAATTACCGGTAAAGGAAATCCTGATTTCCTATGTATCTACTTACGTAAAACACAGGTTGCCGACACGAATAATTACCTATAAACAGTATGTATTTTTTGCGGAAACGTTACATATCCGAATGAATCGGTTGTTCTAGATACCTTCTCGTAGATCGTCTGGAAGAGAAAACGACTTGGGGATGGCTCGATGAGGATTTCTGAAAGCCGTCGTCGATCTTGCTGTCTCCAGAGAGAATCGTTTGCCTAAAAACTCTTCTTCGAGAAAGCGATCCGGTCGTTTGGCGCGGTAACTCGCGTCGACGACCGCGTTGCTCTTCTCGTTAACGACGCACGGCGCCGGCGTCTTTCTCTTGGTGCAGCTATTTCGAGCAAGTTCACCCCTAGAGGCAACTAGACCGTTGTTCACGATGCAGCCGGTGCCCTTTACGGAGGAACTGCACTTTATTCGGCTCGCCTGGACACCGTTTACCCGCCAACTGCTATCGACAATTTCACCTCTTCCCTGCAATTAAATCAGTCGTACCTATTAATCGGCTCTTTAACGCGGTTTAAATTTCCGAGTCGGAAGGCAAAAATGGCTGCGACGGAAACGAAAACCAGGTGAAATCGTAGCGAAACGATGACTATTTCTGATGGCAATGTCAATAAACTGATTTACGAATGTTTATTCTCGTCGCCGCGATCGCGCTTTGCTTTCGTCGCGTCGAAAGCATAATTTCAAAAAACGCGACAGAATCGAGAAGCTAAAACGCTTACCGACAAACCACTGGCTCGTACTTGTTCTTGTTCGAAGAAGAAGGAAGACGAAATCGAGTTCGCGCGTCGAACATTGATCGTAGCCGCGTAAACTGTCGGAAATCACTGAGGACGGTGTGGCGGATCGCGATGAGGTGAGTGTCGGTGTTCGGAGTAGGAGAAGCCTTCCTTGAAAAGCGAATCGTGCCTTCCGGATCGCCTCGCAAGACGTGCACGCGAGTTCTACCGCATCCGTTTCAACTAAACGCTATTTATATGTCGGTTAAGTCCTCGTGTCGGTTTCTCGCCCCGTACACCCGCAACGTCCGAATCTTCTTAGTAGCTGTGTCAGCCACACTAGTGTACCTAGTGTACACGTTCTACAACTTGTTACCTCTGTTTTCGAATTAATCCATCGACGACACGCCGGGCAAATTCGTATATCGCGTTTGAAAGATTTCGCGAAACCGTCTGCTGTTATTCGCGTATAAAACGGTTTAGTAAACGATCCGTAAATCGGCCGATCTCCAATGACGTGGTCGATTTTACGAAGCGCGATGAAAAATGCAAGCGTGAAGAAACGTGAGAAGCTTGTTGCTTACTTGGCTAATGTTTCTTTGCACGTTGACCAGTGACGCGGTGTCTCCGATGTTGCGTTTCGTTTCACTGGTAAACGAATCTTTCCTAGAGTACGTCTCGTTCTGCCTCGTCAATCCATTGTCACGATGGTTCTTCGTCATCGTTGATCCAGACTCCATGGAGCACCGTTCAAAGTCAATTACCGACGAGAAAATATGTGAAATCAATGGGGCTCGATTCGACGTAACATTTCCATGATATCCAGTTTACACGTTAACTATCTTCCGATTCGAAATTGCATCCCGGCTCGAATTGTTTGTCGACACGCTTCTTTCATTTTCTATTACAGCTTTCCGTCTTCTTCAGATCCAGAAGCGAACGAGGATGTTCTCGTAGAACGTGCTCTACGCGACCGAATACGCTCGTCTTTTTGCTGGGCCCGCGTGCTTATTTTGGCCACGTTACATTTCCCTGTCTTCGTCTTCGTTTTCGTGCTTGTCGCCGTCACCTCTGGCGCGAAGCCAATATTTTGAATTCTCTTATGCACGACAATCTATCGATTATGCCAGCCTTCGTTCGCGCTCGTTTATCGACCATACGAAATCATTGCCGTAGATATCTTCGAGCCGGGGAATTGTAAGCTCGCATATGGCGTCAAGTTGTTTGAACAGATGTAGAAACAATCGTTGAAGAAACGCTTGTCGTCGCCTAACTGGGTCGTATGTTAATGATCTAGCCGTTTCGATCTTCCGCGAATAAAAGGTAAACTTCCGGACGCGATGAAAAGATATTCGACGAATAACGTTCACCGTTTTCCGTATTGTTGAACCGCGCTTTTGTTTCGAATCGTAACGATCGGTGTTTATTATACCAAGGAACGATGGAACTTATGATAGAGCTACGTCAAGAGAGAAGATTCTATTCAGATTTTACCAGATTTTCCAATGTTTGCCCGAGGTCGCTATATTTTATACGGAAACGACAAGCTGTCTGCTATTATCGCGTTGCGCACACAAGCGAATAACTTTTTTAAAAGGTGTTGTTAAGCAGCCGTGTTGCGAGCCCTGTTTTTTAAATACAATACGCGACTGATGAAAATTCATAAGGCATTGCTCGACGAACCGGTGAAGGTTATCAATGTCAATACCACGCACGTAACTTCGATCTGGAATAATAATCGTGTTTCGTTGATAATCACGTGCACGCTCGTGTCATTGACACATTTCGAAGAGGTACATTAAAGCCCGTCCCAACGAATTTTATCGAGCACAGTTGTTAAAAACGTCTCGACTAATTGGGGTCGTAATCTACGTAAGAAAATTCTTTTTCTATACTGACTGGCTTCGGTTTAATTTTAAACTAGCTCGGCTCCAACTGCTGGGAATCGTGAACTTGTCGTCGTAAAACGTAGCGAACCTGATTCGTTAACGAATATTGCTTTAAACGAAAATACGAAAAATATACACTTACAAAATCTTTCTGAACGGTAAAACGTGATTTGTAATAGTTTAGCCGCGAAATACATTTATTTCAAGAAAGTTAAATAAACTTTGAAACAAAATGTTTCAGCTGTAAGATTTCAACTCAAGAATAAAAAAAAAGAAAAAAATATATACTTACCTCCGTCCGTTACATTCTTTAAAACAGGCGAGAAACATCTATCGCGTTTAAACGCTACAAAAGGTACATATAAAGAATTCGCGATGAAAATTGTCTGAATGTAAATACGTTTGTAAACGGGAATTGGGTAGAAAAAGTAGGCGAAAGGTGAAATTACACGGCACCGTTAGTTCCATCGAGAAACTTTTCGAGCTAATCCACTCGCGAAAGGGTTGATTGGATACTGGGCGAAAGTTTAATTCTCACCCTCGCCCTGTAAGTACGGCGTGAGTCGTATCTCACGTTCATTCATCCGCGCAGCCGCGAGTTTTAGCCAGCTGTTATACTTCTTCGATGGTTAGTCAACGAGAAATTACAAAAGATCGCAAACAGTTTTACAAAATTGTTTACACTTCTCACGACAATGTCAATTTCCATAGGCCGTGACACGGCGAAGGTAGGAAAAGTTTCGCGTTCGACTTCCGAATCTGAAAGTTTTTCCACTTATTTCTACGCGGTATCCGACGGAACGCACGTGGTCGAATGGTACGATGATTCAAGATCAATTAGAAAACTGAAAACCTTAAAAATAGAATTTGCAACGGTCTGCATTAGCAACTTCTTGGCTATTCGCAAATGATATTACGCGGCGTATAAATATAATTCGACAACGAAATCTACTGAAAAGCAACGTGTATCGACTCGAACTTGTTTTCGAACCTCCCCGAACCAATACATAATACTACATGCGTTTAATTAGAGATCTCTGCTTCGAAAATAAGTATATGTTTTCCGTTGCGTTAAAATTAACATATTCTATCCTTGAACAAAGAATAAAAGGAAGTTAATTTATAAGCTGCGAGAAAATCTTTTGCATTCGCGGCAGTAGTAACGAGAAGTAACAGAGAAAATGCACGAATTCTGAAAGGATCGATAGTTTACGTTGTCTTTTAACAACATACTAAAGATATCGCGAACAAAGAAGTAAAGAAGTGCGAAAGTTGGCACGTAGGCGTGCGTGTTTGGAAATCAATGTCTGAGCGATGGATGGTTTGCAATTCCGAAAGAAAATTACAACTGTGAAAGAAACAAATTTCGTGCCATAGATGATAGAATAAAGCGATTATCCGCACGATAGTTTATCGTACAATGAAAAGGTATCAAGTAGTAAATAAAGGTATCAAGTGGTAAAAAATCTCGATTTATCGGTTGAATTTCGCGTTGCTCGAGTTTTCTATCCCGAGAAGCATTTGCAGAGATCGTTACTTCAAGGTTGAAGTAACCTTGAGTCGCTCGATGAAAAAAAAAAAAAAAAAAAAAAAAAAAAACGAATACGAAGATACGAGATAGAAAGACAGTAATACGTATTTCAAAGTGTAATGCTATATTTCGATAACATACAGAGTTTACATCGAGGATGAACTATTTGATGCAACGCCGATAGGATCGCGCGCATAAATTTTCCTCGCGCTGGCAGCCCTTAATTATGAAAAAAATAGCGATATCGTGGCAATGCTGATCAAGTGGAAAATACAATAATCGTGAGACGATTCTCACCGTGTTCTAGGTACGATACTTATTTTGGCAACAATCAACAACAATTGGGATCAAAGGTCACGAGTGGTATTAACGAGTGGTAGCAACGAGTGGTTCGCGTCATCTTCCCCAAATTGTCGTATCCTCTCTGGTGTGTTTTGAACGAACGTCTCGTCTCGACTGTGTCCGATCGGTTACCATTTATAATCATTGATCCCAAAATTACATAAGAGCTTTAAACACGGTTCACGTGTCTTTCCTAATAATCCCCTTTAATCTTCGCCATTCGCGAGATAACACGCGATTAAATCAAAGCAACGCTCTATCCTTGATTACGAGACGCTTCCCTCGATCGCAACGTTTCTGGCAGTAAACACACTAACGATAAGATCACACATCGAACGTACGATAGATTCGAAAACAACGGTGAACAAAGAAAACGATTAAATTGATCGCTCGCAAATATATCCTCTTTTCTCTTTCAAATTGGACTATAATCTGTCCGAAAACGTATCAAACGTATCAAACCTATCCGTCCATGAAAGGTAGAAAGGCATCGGGGTAAGTGCGAGGTGATTCGAAATGCCATCGAAAATTATGTAGAGGAAAAAGTAACGCGTGTTATTGAAAAAGTTCGCGGCCCTTTTTCGGTTCAAGAAAAATTTATTGAACCCACGAAGCAGGTACCCAAAGTGGTTCGGACTCCACTCGATGAACCGCGTTCACCAGTTGCTCGAACGCCATTGACAGGTCAGCGTTCACTATCGCTTCGTCGAACAGATGAGAGTAGAGAAATTCTATCCTAGCCGCGCTGTGCAGAATTTCGTTAAACTCCTCGTCCTGCGAACGGATCATTCAAGTATCACTGGCTTACGAATAAATTGTATAAAGAATAAATCGATTTACCGTGAAACCTCGAGAGTTGCTCTCGTCGAACGTGGACCTTGCCCTGGCGTCGTTTCTCGTCTCTTTCAATATTTCGAACCTAGGCGGTTTTATGTATATCACGTACGGCTTTGTTTGCGGTGTTCGAAGCATCTTTAGTGCCTGATAGTGCGGGTTTAACAGGCAAACGTAGCCAGCGTTTATCAGCGAGCTGACGCTCTCGGAACTGGTACCGTACAAGTTACCCTTGTACTCGCCGTACTCTATAAACTTGCCAGCCTCGATTTCCTCTTCCATCTTTTCGCGGGTTACGAAGTGATACTCTTTGCCGTTGATCTCGCCGGATTTCGGCGGCCTCGAGGTATCTGGAAACGAACGCGATTGCCCGAAGTAGGTAAGCTGGCGTTTGCCGAAGGAAACGAGGGAAGAAAAAGCTTACAAGGAACGGGCGTCTTGTACTTATCGGAATCGGTGGCCATGAGCCGCCTCTTGAGCTCGTTCCTGCCGACTCCCGGTGGCCCGATCAGAACCACCGGTCGGTAGAGACCCGGCCTCGGGTAGAGTTTCGCTACTTCTTCGTAGGTAGGTATTTCTTCCCGGTCAAAGTCGTCGTTCTCTGCAGCGTCATACATGATTTTTTTAGTTTTTACTCCCTGCAAGTTGCACTTTGTGGGCGAGGCGTGCAAAGAGGTAGTAGGACGGGGGCACAATGCGGGCAAAGGCACTGGAACAGAACACAAGCCTAACCGACGGTTAGGTGGTCAGGCCATCAAACGTTGAGAAGAGCAGTCGTGATCGATCGATCGATCGATCGATTGGGTTGTTTAGTCAAGCGAGATCGTTCGTTAGTCAGCAGCATTTCTGCATGCCTTTACACTCTCTACGGCTAGACTGGCAAATGTGACAACAAGATTATCAGACGAAACGTCGCGTCGTGGCGACAAAAGCACTCTACGTCTACACGATCGCAAACCTGCTTGCTTACTTATATTGTCGTCGTCGGTTTTCTCCTTTTGCTGTCTCTCCAGAATAATTCGTCTCTCCTGTAGGGCTCGGCTAGGGATTAAGCCGGCTCTCATGTTTCGATCGCCCTCTCGTCTCGCCTGCCACCTAATTTCAAACGAGTATACTTGATAGGAGAACTATAACGTTCTTCCCCGTTGAAACAAGGAATTCGCGCGTCTCGTACCAGTAAGCGTCATCCTGGCTGACGATATGGAGGACATCGCCTTTGGAAAAGTCTAGTCCAGCCTCTTTGCAAGGTATGTATGGATCGTCGGAGGCCTTATACGAAAAGTGCGCTCTCACTCGTACCTACGGTGAAAAAACGCTTTTAAACTTTCCAACCTTAGGTATTTGGTGAAGCTTTGCTTGATCTTCGTTAAAATTGGCAAACTTTCTGAAGCGCGAAAACTCGTCTACGCGATACACACGGTTTTCTGGGAACGATTCGAGGAGGAAAATTAGGTACGTACCTTGCTCTCTCGAATGCCTCCTTTACTATCGGCTGGAACTATCTTAAACGTAATGGTACCCTCGGAATTTTGCTGAAAAAGAATAGGTGATTTTATAATAATTCCGAATTGGAAATCGAATCGAAAATCGAACGGAAACTGTCACCTACCAATATCTTGAGAACACAGTTTGGAGTTTTTCCTTCGACGCTGATGCCGTTCACCTCGCAAACCTCGTCGCCAACGTGAATGAGGCCGGATCTATCGGCTGCACCGCCATGCATTATTCGCGCAATCACGATCTTGCCCGTCACCTCGCACGTTTTTATGGTCGCCCCCTATTGTCAACGTGTAAACTAATATTTTCATTGGGGTTGCGAGGTACGCGTGTTAGGGAGCGCCTTCGTTTTTCTTAAAAAATAAATAAAAAGAAAGAGAATTCATCGCGAAGGCGTTAAACGCACACTCGATCGAAGCGATTCTTGTCTTCTTCGTTAATTCGAAGCGTCGGCCACGCGATCCTTTAAATCCCTCGAGATAATCGCCTTATCTCCAGAGATTTTCAACACTTACACGAGGACATGCGGGACAATAACACAGGATACGATTGTTACGATAGAGAAATCGTTTTATTTACAAGCTAAAATCACAAAACAGAAAACAAAAAGGAGGAAACCAAAAACAAATCAGTGGGAATTCAAACGGACGCAAAAGGGTGTCAAAAGTAGGAGGTAAGCGTAACGAATATAAAAAATTAGCAGCGAGAAAAATCAACATCGTTCTATTTACAGCTCGGCTTCTCCACGTTTTCGGTACAAAAACGAGATCGCAGCATAAGAACAAAAGTAAAATTCTAATGACTAGACATTCAGCGTAACGAAATGAAAGAAAACCAGATGGAACGAAACGAAACGAAACGGCTACAAAATCGTACTAAGAATCGATAATACGCACGATAATTGTTTACAAGCCTGTACATTAAATTCGGCTTCAAGTCGACTTACCACGATCGGTTCAACGCCAGCGCCACACTTCGAAGCAAGTTTGACGATGAAAGAAACACGTGATTACTTAAGAAATATACGTGAGAATACGTATTCGATAACTACGATTACTTATTAGGGGAACACACGAGGCGTCTACGCCGGTACAAAGGATTAATTACGATGAAATTCCATGCAAGTAGGCATAATTACGCCGGTTACGCTGGTTACTTCGTTACTTCTATGTATCATTGTCGCTTTTTTTTTTTCGTTTTTTTTATCGTAAATACGAATCTGTACTACGTTTACCGAAGACCAATCGAGCTCGAGCTCGTTCTCTCTGTCTTTACCGTGTTATTCGACTGGAAACATGAACAACGCTCTGAGCACGAAAAGTGCCAGCTATCTGACGTACCAAGGGTTCGTTTGATTTCACCAGCTGCACGATCTTCACCGTCTCTTCGTCCTCGTCGACT